ACGCGATGACGTTATAAATAGTGTGGTTTTAATTAAGCTCGATATCCAAAAGTATGGCACATAGGAAATTCGCTGTTATAGGAAAAGGTGCACCTATTAGCGTAGTCTTATATTAGTATTAATTTAGTCAACTTCGCATATGCCAGACTGTTTGGGATGACCTCATGGTCCAAATGGAGAAACTTTCTCTGTCTATTAGTAATCTCTCTGTTATCAATTATCAAATGCGATTTAAAGCACTTATTCACTAAACAAAATATGTTTCCATACACTTTCAACTATGCTCTACAAGATGACAATAATGATTTCTTAAGATATTGAATTAATACATAGATTATTTTATAAAAATATAGGATTTATTTTTTTAGTCGGTCTATGTATCAATTAAATATGTATAGTTGATAGTATCTGTTGCAAAATAACTAGTTTGTCTTCTATTCATGCATATAATTAATTCTTTTCTATTGATTATCTAATACCAATAGATATTGCGCTCTAATAAAATTGAGTTTTTCCATTTTCTTGAATGATTCTCACAATAAAATGTAGATGGCACTAATATACAATAAATAAATTCTATTATAATCTATGAATGGTTATATATTAACTAATAAAATTGTTCTAATGTCTATTTTTGATAAACATTGGACATAATTGGATGTTTCAATGTCGACCTCCTTTTTTTCTCTTCTCGTAGTTTAGTTTAGTTGTTTATTTATTTACTCGTTCTTTCATTTCAGTATTTAATCTTTTTTATTCTTTAAATTCCTGTCTATTCTTTTTTCTAATTGAAATTTAAAGAAATCGAACAGTATGTTATTAAACTAGAAAATAAATGTCATTGTTCAATGATTTATCTTCTCTTTTTTAGCAACTAAGACAATCATGCCATCAACTATACAGCCTTCCAGTCAACAATTACTTTCACGAGAAAATACATTATTTAAAAAAGTTGTGGTACGTTAGAAATAATTAACTTGAAATCTACGTATTATTTTTTATTATATTTTTAGCGTTTCTATGAACAAAAACAGTATAAAAAAGGTTTATCAGCTGCTCGAGAAATTTTAAAAAAATGTCCAAATCATGGTGGTATGTATAAGATATCTTTTATATTCTAGTTTTTATCGAAATCTATTATTTAGAAACATTGTCTATGAAAGGTTTAATTCTTAATTCACTCGGTAAAAAAGAAGAAGCTTTAGAAAGTATTCGTAATGGTATTAAAAATAATATGACAAGTCATGTTGTTTGGCATGTCTATGGTCTATATCAAAGATCTGAACGTAAATATGATGAAGCAATTAAAGCATATAAAAAAGCATTACAATGTGAAAAGGTAGGAGAGATAAGAGAATTAGTTTTTAATATACAACAAATTTTTATTATTTCATAGGATAGTTTAACAATTCTTCGTGATTTATCATTATTACAAATTCAAATGCGTGATCTTGAGGGTTATAAAGTAAGAATTCAATGATTTATATAAACTAAATATTTGTTTTATTTTTTTTAGGAAACACGTCATCAATTATTTAATTTAAAACCTGGTCAACGTCAATCATGGATTGGTTTTGCAATGTCTTATCATTTATTAGGTGATTATGATATGGCACAAAGTGTATTAGAAGAATTTCGTAAAACTCAACAAGATCGTCCAGCACCAGCACCAGATAAACCATATGATAATGAACATTCAGAATTTTTATTATATCAAAATCTTGTTTTACGTGAAGCTGAACAATATGAAGATGCTCTACGTCATATACAAATACATGAAAAAGATATTTATAATAAATTAGTATTATCGGAAATAAAATATCATTTATACATACGTTTAAATACATTTGATCGTGCTGAAACAATTTTACGAGATTTAATTGAACGTAATCCAGAAAATAAAAAATATTATTTTATGTTAGAAAAATGTTTGAATTTAACAAATAGTGATGAAAAATCAAAATTATATGAAAATCTTATGGAAAAATATCCAAGAGCTGATGCACCAAAACAAATATGTTTACAATTTTTAACCGGTAAATTTTTCTTTATTGATTGATAACTAATATGTGAATATATTATTTCATTTATTCAAATATTTAGGTGAACCATTTTCCAAATCTATTGGATCATATTTACAAAAAGGTTTTCAAAAAGGTGTACCATCACTTTTTCAATCTGTCAAATATTTATATGCAACACCAGAAAAAGTTCGTTATCATCAAATGAAACAAAAAACGAGAAGTTGATTTTAATATTATATTTAGGTTCAAATAATTGATTCATTATTAAATAATTATTTGAATAATCTAACTAAATATGGAACATTTGAAATATCAACAGGTAATGATTAATATATGTGTATATAGTGGAATGTTTTTTTTTTTGAAATTTATAGATGATGAAGATATTGAACCAGCATCAACTCTTCTTTGGCTTCAGTATTATCTTGCTCAACATTATGATTATTTAAATAAAATAGATAAAGCATTTGAATTTATTGATCAAGCTATTCGTGATACACCAACACTTGTAGAACTTTATATGTTTAAAGCAAAAATATTTAAGGTTTCATTTATTTATTTATTAATTAAACTTTTTGTATTTTTATTGTAATTAGCATGCGGGTGATTTTCAAATGGCAGCTTCATTAATGGATGAAGCTCAATCTCTTGATACCGCTGATAGATTTGTTAATTGTAAATGTACGAAATATTTATTACGTGCTAATCAAATCACTACGGCTATTGAAATTGCCGGCAAATTTACACGAGTAAAACATTTATTTCTATTATTCAATATGATTTATTTTTTATCTTAAGGAAAATTCTTCACCAGGAGACTATTTACGTGAAATGCAATGTATGTGGTTTGAATTAGAAACAGCAAGAGCACATCGTCGCTTGAAAAAATATGGTGAAGCATTGAAAAAATGTCATGAAATTGATCGAGTATGAATACATATATTCAATTGAAACTGACTTTGGAAATTTTTTTTTGTAAATTTAAAGCATTTTCAAGAATTTATTGAAGATCAATTTGATTTTCATTCATATTGTCTTCGTAAAATGGTGCTATGTGCTTACGTTGAAATGCTTAATCTTGAAGATCATATGAAAGGACATCGATTTTTTCGTCAAGCAGCCCAAGTTGCAGTTGAAGTAATAAAATACAAAAAAAAGCCAATAGAATGATATTCATCAAATATATATTATTATTTAGATTTATATTCGTCTTTATGATCATCCTCTTTCTGATCAAGATAATGACAAAGATGACAATCTTGGTAAGAATATTATAGAACTCATATATTATCATTGTAATGACAAAGAACTATGATATTGAATGAATTTTTATCTAGCTAATATGTCAGCATCTGAAGCGAAGAAATTAAAAAATAAATTACGTAAACAACAACTTCGTGAACAACAAGAAAAACAAAAACAAATTGATGCTGAACGAAAGAAAAAAGAATTTCAACGTAGTCGAAATAAAGATGATGGCGAAGAAGAAAAAGTAAAAGAAGATGAAATTGTTGCTGAAAAACTTGAACGTGTATGTTTAACAAAAAATAAAATTCATTCATTTATTAATAATTTTTCTTTTTTGTTTAGTGTGAAAAACCATTAGAAGAAGCAATGCGCTTTTTACAACCACTTGAAGATTTTGCTGCAAACTTTCTTGACACACACTATTTAGGTTTTGAAGTTTATTATCGACGAAGTATGTTTTAATTAAAAAAAACTATTAATTAATTTTTATTAAAATTTAGAGAAATATTTATTAATGTTACGTTGTTTAAAACGAATGAAAAAATTAGATACAAATAATGCAAAATTTCATTCATGTCTAATGAAATTTCTTAAAATGAGTAAATATATAAACAAATTAATATTTTATTTTCTATTTTCTTACTCATATATTTTCTAGTGGAACTTGAACCAGTAACTGATGAACGACTTCGAACTATCATTGATGATGAATTAAAAACTTTTAATGTTAAACAAGGAGATTCAATAAGAAAAATTGAAGATCTTAATGAAGAATTTCTTAAGAAAAATTCAAATTCATTGACACATCGTGCTGAAGGTAACAATGATTATTTTGTATTCAAAAAATATAATATATTTTATTTTTTTTAGCTGCCAAAGTAATGCTACTTATTAATCCAACAAACAATCTCAAAGCTATTGAATACCTTACAACATTAGATCCAAATTTTACTGATCAAAATTTAAAAGTTAGTTTAAAAAATAAAATTATCTTCATATTTTTATACAATTTCTTTTTAGGTATGTACGAATATATATGAAAATATGCAATCAGATGATTATGGTCCTATTGAAAAGTCAATACTTGAAAAATATCGTAATCAATGTCATAATCTTTGGCCACAAGCAAATATATTTCAATCAACACCACCATCACTTGCGCATTCTTCAAATAATGGTGAAACCAATGGTGGAAATAATGAAGCAATTTCACAAGATCACAATTAATTCTATATCGTTTACATTCGCGCTTTCTTTTCTAGGTTACTTATGTTTCTTTCTATCTATGTATGATGACTTAAAACTTCGTTTCTTTTTTTCTCTCTCTCTCTCTCTCTATTTCAAACAAGAACAACACAAAAATATCATTTAATTTCTTTTTGTTGTGATTATTAGACGAAGAGTTGTACGAGACGTTTTCTTTTTTTTGTTTGTTGTTTTTTAGGCCATATTTGAGTGTTGTATGTGAGAAAGGTTTTACATTGTTTTTGCATAATAAAAAAAAAATCAAGGACATTGAAAATCACTTTTGTGATTATTAATGATTATACATCATACATTCACCGTTCCAGGTTTTATATACCAATGAATGAAATCTATTGAATGTAGTAATTCAAAATAATTACAAGCGATAAACTATTCGATATTGTTTAGTATATTTGAATAAGAGAGAATGAATACGTCTCTCTTATAATATATTGTTTAGATGAATAAAATATTAATTTCAAGCATGAGTAGATATTTATTACAATTATAGTTTCAAATATTAGTTCATTCTATATTTATCTAGTATAATTTGTTTTGCTTATCCATCATTGACTTATGTATCAATTATACAATATTCTACTGACAACAAAAGATATACTTGATATAATATTTTAATTTTATGTAAAGAAGTTCTGAAATAAAAGATTCTATTATGTATATATATAGATAATCGATAGTTCTGATATTTAGCTGTGTGTTATATTAAACGAAGAATGGCTCGAAGCAATTTATATTTTCTATTATTATTATATTACTAGAGGCATGCGCTATTTCCTGTCTTCTTTTTTTTCTATTTTCTCTTTTTTTTTCTGTTCTAGGCAAGCTTAATAGGCCTGTTTCTTTTTTTTTCTTTGCCCAGAATACAAACACACCCCCAAGAAACATTGTATCATCACCTGATGTATAAGGGAACAAAAATGTACTTATCCAGTTATTTCTTTCATTCGCATTAATTAATCTTTTTTCTTAGAGTATATATAACGTTTCCTTTTTTTACGTCTCAATATATTATTTAGTGTTGAGAAATATATAGAATACAGATAAAGGCAAGTACAAGAATACGAGTAAATCTATTAGCTATTACTCGAAATGATTTTTTTTATTTATTAAACAGTGGTGAAGAAATACATGAGTAGAGAGGTTGTTCGTATGACATACTTTCATTAATTAAACACTTTTTTAAAATAATAAACATCTAACGAGAAAAATACAATTGAAATCAACTTGAATATTATCTATAAAAATGCGAGATAGAAGGGCTGAAAATAGTTCTTATTATACATACGCATATATTAGAACGTTCTATATATGTCAATGTACCCGTAGAACTAATGGGAAAGAAAAATATTGTTCTCTTTATTTTATTCTACAATTACATAAGGGTAAGAATAGATTATATCATATTTTTCATTTTGATATTAAGTAAAAGCTGACAGAAAAGAGTATAGCTATTAAATTAATATGAGTACTTTCTTCAGCTCAAGAAAGAAAACGAGGAATTGTACTTGTTGTAATTAGTTCTATAAATAATCTGTAAACAAAAACAATATTTCGTTCTATTTCTATATTAAATACATAGAGTCCATAATATAGCTATATGTCAACATGATACACATGATGATGTTTAGTTTTTCAAACAGAAAAAGTATAAACAATTTTTTTCAGATATGAATAAATTAATATTATTGTAAATAATCAAAAAATGTATCGTGTTAATAATCTTCTTCAAACATCTTATTGTATTCGTTCATCATTTATATCATGTAAACGATTATTATCTGTAAAACCTCCACAACAACAACAACAACAATCCAATAAATATGAAGTTCGAAAAATTAATAAACTTCTTGTTGCTAATCGTGGTGAAATTGCTATTCGAGTATTTCGTGCATGTACTGAAAATAATATTCGTACAGTTGCTATTTATTCTGCTGAAGATGAAGGACAATTACATCGTATTAAAGCAGATGAATCATTTAAAATTGGAAAAGGTTTATCACCAATTGCTGCATATTTAAATATACCTGAAATAATTAAAGTAGCAATAAAAAATGATGTTGATGCTATTCATCCAGGTTATGGATTTCTATCTGAAAATGGAGATTTTGCAAAAGCTTGTCAAGAAGCTGGAATTATATTTGTTGGTCCAACACCGGATGTTATCTATCGAATGGGAGATAAATTAAATGCACGACAAGCAGGTAAAAATAAAATAAGAAAAAAATAATTCTATTTTTTTTGTTTAATTTAAGCTATGGATGCTAAAGTTCCTATAATTCCTGGTACAACTGAAGCTGTTGATAATCTTGATGAAGTGCGTATATTTGTTAAAGAACATGGTTATCCCATTATGCTTAAAGCAGCACGTGGTGGTGGTGGACGTGGAATGCGTATAGCAACAAAAGAAAGTGATTTAGAAGAAGCATTTCAACGAGCTTCATCGGAAGCTAAAGCAGCTGTTGGTGATGGTCGATTATTTGTTGAACGTCTTGTATCACAAGCAAGACATATTGAAGTACAAGTAATTGGTGATCATCATGGAAATGTTGCACATTTATATGAAAGAGATTGTTCTGTTCAACGACGCCATCAAAAAGTTATTGAAGTTGCACCAGCAACTAATTTAGATCCAAAAATTCGTGAACGTATGACATCGGATGCTGTACGTTTAGCTAGATATGTTGGTTATCAAAATGCTGGAACAGTTGAATTTTTACTTGATAATCAAGGAAGACATTATTTTATTGAAGTTAATTGTCGTTTACAAGTTGAACATACATGTTCGGAAGAAATAACAGGAATTGATATTGTACAATCACAAATAAAAATAGCTGAAGGTGCACGATTAGCAGATTTAGGTTTAGAACAAGATAAAATTAAAATAATGGGTGCTGCTGTACAATGTCGAATGACAACAGAAGATCCTGGAAATAATTTTACACCAGATGTTGGACGAATTGATGTATTTCGTTCAGCTGAAGGATTTGGTTAGTTAAAATATTATTTAGAGATACAATAATTTATATCTTATTCTTTTTAGGTATTCGTATTGATAGTGCTTCCGCTTATACAGATGCTGTTATAAGTCCATTTTATGATTCATTATTAGTAAAAGTCATCGCTCATGCACGTAATCATCAAGAAGCATGTTCAAAAATGGTTCGTGCACTTAAAGAATTTCGTATTCGAGGTAAAGATTTAAACAAAAAACTCAAATAAATTCTTGATTGATTTGTTTTTATAGGTGTTAAAACGAACATTCCATTTTTACTTAATGTTCTTCAACATAAACAATTTCTCGAAGGTTCAATTACTACAAGTTTTCTTGATGAAAATCCTATTTTATTTAAATTTATACCTTCACAAAATCGTGCACAAAAATTACTTTCTTATCTATCAGAAATAATGGTTAATGGACCATTGACACCATTGGGTACTAGTATAAAACCAATGGATATAAAACCAGAACTTCCACATGTGAAAAGAAAAGAAATTCCAAATGGTTGGCGACAAATTTTGAAACAAGAAGGTCCAGTAGGTTTTGCAAAAGCTGTTCGTAAACATCCACAGTAAAGATATTGAAATATGAGAACTTTTCAAATGAAACTATTTCTTGTCTATAAATAGAGCATTACTAATGGATACAACAATGCGTGATGCTCATCAAAGTTTATTAGCAACAAGAGTACGAACATGTGATTTAAAAAAATCTGCACCATTTGTAGCAAAAAATTTTTCTCAATTTTTTAGTTTAGAAAATTGGGGAGGTAAAAATAGTTCTTTTTTGTAGTTGTTTTTTTCTTTATTTACTTGAAACCTAATATAGGTGCAACATTTGATGTTGCTCTTCGTTTTCTACATGAATGTCCATGGGATCGTTTAAGTGAATTACGTGAACTTATTCCAAATATTCCATTTCAAATGTTATTACGTGGTGCGAATGCTGTTGGTTATTCAAACTATCCAGATAATGTTATAGATGGTTTTTGTCAAATGGCTGTTGATCATGGAATGGATATATTTCGTGTATTTGATTCATTAAATTATTTACCTAATATGAAAATTGGTATCGACGCTGTTGGAAAAGCAAATGGTGTTATATCAGCTGCTGTTTGTTATACAGGTGATGTGGCTGATAAATCACGAACAAAGTATAATTTAGATTATTATATTAAATTTGTTGATGAACTTGTTAAAATGGGTATACATATATTATCTATCAAAGGTATTTTATTATTGTTTTGAATCAATAAAAATCAGGAAAAAAGAACTTCTTTTTAGATATGGCTGGTCTTTTGAAACCTCGTGCTACAAAAATGTTAATTGATGCAATTCGGCAAAGACATCCTGATTTACCTATTCATTTACATACACAGTACGTACACATTTTTTAATCAATTATGAAATACTTGCTTTTTATAGTGATACAGCTGGAACTGGTATTGCTAATTATATGGCTGCATTTGAAGCTGGAGCCGATATTGTTGATGTAGCTGTTGATTCTATGAGTGGTATGACATCACAACCAACTATGGGTGGTATTGTAGCTGCATTACAAAATACAAAATATGATACTGGTATAAATATGGATAAAGTTAATGAATATTCAGCATTTTGGGAACAAACACGTTTACTTTATGCGCCATTTGAATGTACAACAACTATGAAAAGTGGTAATGCAGATGTTTATAAGAATGAAATACCCGGTGGACAATATACAAATTTACAAGTAAAATAAAGTTATATATTTTTATTTTCATTACAGATAAATATTTAATTCTAGTTTCAAGCATTTAGTCTTGGTCTTGGTTCACAATTTGAAAATGTAAAGAAATCATATATTGAAGCTAATCAATTGTTAGGTGATCTAATTAAAGTAACACCTTCATCGAAAGTTGTTGGTGATCTTGCACAATTTATGGTACAAAATAATTTAACAGCTAAAGATGTACACGAACGTGCTGAAGACCTTTCATTTCCAACAAGTGTTGTTGAATTTATGCAAGGTCAACTTGGTCAAGTAATTTGTTTTGTTTTACTTTTAAAAGATATTAATATAAACTTAATTTTAGCCACACGGTGGATTTCCTGAACCACTTCGTACACAAATGTTGAAGGGAAAGAATAAAATTGATGAACGTCCAGGTGCAAATACAAAATCATTAGATTTTGATCAAATTGAACAAGAATTAAAAAAGAAATTTGGTGATGCTATTATACGTAAATGTGATGTTATGTCCTATATTATGTTTCCGAAAGTTCTTGAAGAATATATTGATTTTAAAAAACAATATGGTCCAGTTGATCTTTATCCAACACGAGTATTTTTTGTTGGACCACGATTAAATGAAACGATGGAGTAAGTTTAGTCGTAGACGAACAAAAATATGTATTTTTATTTTGTTATATAAATTTAGTATTGAAATTGAACATGGAAAAGTTTTACATATTGTTGTATTAGCTATAAGTGAATTAATGCTTGCAACTGGTGAACGTGAAGTATTCTTTCAAGTCAATGGGCAATTACGATCAATGAAAGTTAAAGATAAAGCAGCTGTGAAAGATCATAAAGTTCATCCCAAAGTAGATAAAAATAAAACGAATCAACTTGGTAAATATACTTAATGAATTACTTAATTCTATTTTACAAATTTGCTTTTTAGGTGCACCAATGCCAGGTCAAGTACTCGATATAAAAGCGAAAGAAGGTGACACAATAAAAAAAGGTGATACAGTAATAGTGTTAAGTGCTATGAAAGTATGTAAAAGAAAATATATTCAATATCATTAGATTTATATTAATATTTATAGATGGAAACTGTAGTAAAAAGTGCTGTGGATGGTAAAATAAAGAAAATTCATGTACATATTGGTCAACAAGTACAAGGTGATGATTTAATTGTGGAATTAGAATAGTGATTTCTTTTCATGTAATCTAAATTTTTGTATATGTTTTATTTCAAAAAAACCTCATATTTTATATCGCTTTGCTCAAAATATTATTATAATCAGTCTTTCCTTTGATTGTATTTATTTTATTTTATCCTGCTTGAAAGCATTCACTTTTTTGTTCGAAGTCGTAATTTATACAAGCACAGTAAAAATTAATAAGATGTCAACATTTTTGCCGATTGTTATTTACTCGTTTTCTAAACATAAGCTCCGTATCTGATATAAGCTATTTTAGTATTATGTGTTTCATCAGAGATTGAAAAAAACAATACAAAATACGGTTTTTTCACCACATTATATTTTCACTTAATACTATTTTGTAGATCTTGACAAGAGCTTTCAGAATATATTACTGTTTTTCAGTTTGGACAAACTTTTAGAATCGCAAAGATGTCCTGAACATCCGTTTAGGAATTTCTCACTTTTTGTGTAGAGCGAGATTAAAATCATTGGTTTTGTATTCATAACAATTCAATCGGTACAAGATCGATTGCATGTGAAAGAGGATCGATGAGAAAATATTTTAACAAAGATATGTGAGGGTGAGGATGAAGGTAGAAGACATTCTCACTTTAATATTGAAGAAGAATAAAAAAAAATATGTTTATTGAGAAATAGTATCTACTTACAGGCACAAAAATAGGTATCTGAAGTATTTTTAAATAGTGATATGACCAAAACGAAACAACGTCAAAAATCTGGTTTAGTAACAAATGTATCCATTCACAAGAAAAATCGATGAAACGGTTGAAGGAAAAACATAACAATAATATTTAATAAGTTGGCTTCTTAGCAAAGCCAAATACTCAACTGATTGTGATAAGAAAATTCAATTTGAGTCATAGCTGACTTCCTTAGACGGTCAATCTTTGCGGTAATTGCTTGTTTAATATTTTCCTTTACATGTGGTTTGAGTGTGAGATTACCATTTTTATTTATTTGCAATAATATTAATTGACAAAAGTGAGCTTTATCAATCAGTAATTCATATGCAAAATTAACCATTTGTTTTTCTCTTACCAATTGTTGTCCACCAATACTAAGATAATGCACTTTAGGTATGATTATATTGAATTGATTTACATCGAAATGTATACCATCCCATCCAAGGATGAGATGAACATGTGTAATCATTGGGTATCTTCCGGAGCAATGAGAAAGATGACTCCATCTTACACTGAGACAGAAAAGATGAGGTGAGGCATCCAGAATTATCGGTAATAGTGAATGGCGCCTTGAATCGACGCGAGTAACGTGTGTAAGTCGAAACGTCAACGAACGAAGAAAATGACATAGATTGGTATGTGTTGGAGGTATGTCAAGTTTTGCTTGATTCTGAAATTTGAAATGATACATAATTCAATTATTTCTTGTATCTTTTTCAGTTTAAAACTTAAAATTAAAGATTACATATAAATGAAACTTACTACTGAGAAAAAGGTACAATGAAGCACCTCAACGTTTCTCATTGCTTGAAGACTTTTAATTAAATGGATTTCATTGTTTGTGCATTTATATAACCATTCCATGTTTCGACAAATGAAGTTCTTTCGAATTGTTGCTGATTGACAAGTAAAAAGTTTATAGTTGTGTATGGTGCGCATATATTTCAATACATCAAAAGGAATGGAGTAGATAAAAAATACATCTTCAATAACGTCTAAAGGAGATGAACAACTAATCTGTTCCACGATACGTTCATCTATATGAAAGCCAATATTATTAAATGGCCATTCATTATTATAGTATCTTTGAGTCCATTCATGCTCACATTTAGCAGGAAATCGAAGTAAAAATTGAAATTGATTTTGTTTAAGAGAAGGGAAGTTTGAAGGACCAAATAGCTGTTGAAAAGCTAATACATTATCTAAAGCTAAATAAAAATTCTTAGGTTATTTTTCTTTATTTCAAATAGCTAATCAATATTGAAAGTTAGAGAGAGAGAGCGTAAAAAGTATAGATTTGGACTAGCAAAAAACTAATCTCAATTCAAAACATATGTTGGAACAAAATGAATATAAAACAGCTATCGTTTTTAGGATGTGGGTGTGAGGTGACAGCCCCTCATCTATCTCTCAACCATACCCTCAGCTAGATCTTTGTTTAAATGTATACAAAATTTCTCGAATGAAAAAAGAAATTGAATATTCAAAATTTAAGTTCATTGTACTTACATTTATCAAATACATCCACCAATATAAGTGTATCAAGAAGAGGAAAAGTGAACGTATTGAATAAAGTCAAAAGATCATCGAGCTCTATTTGACGTAGCACAAATGATCGAAGTTTTGTTTTGGCAGCATTTGCATAACGTAGATCATTTTCGGATAATTGAACAGATTTTGCTGGTTGTTTTCTTTTAGTTATTAAATCTTTTCGTGGCTGTTCGATAGTTACATTCAAATGTTCAAGTAATGGTAAAGCTTCAGGCATGAAGAGAAGAATAAGCTCTGATGAATGTTGTACACTAATAGTCAAGCAAACAGTACGCATCCAGTATAATGGATGTTTTATATTGTATAAATCTGCATATTCCCAATTTTGGTATCTATGACCTAGAAATAAATTCATGGTCGTTAAAATCGGTTATTATTAATCAAAGATTTGAAACATATAGAACTACTCAATTTTTTGAAAATTTTCACTAAAAAACAAGTGTCCCTTGACTATCTAAGTTTTGGTATACAGACCACTTGTTACTTTTAATAACATAATTGGACATGAAATACGTTTTTCCACTAAGTGAGATAATGTAGAATAATAAGTAGAACATGGTTGGTCGAAAACAAGATGAAGACAATGGAGTTGTGATTGAAGAATTTTTTCAAATTTAAGTTCACGAAGTAATACACCAATCATGTTCATAGCTTCTGGTAAAATATAAATTGTTCTTAAAGATGATAGTTTCCAATTTTCTTTTGTTGCGATCCATCGATTAATTAATATCTCATAATCAAAATTATTTTCAAGATAAATTGCAGACGCATGGGAAATAAATTCTGCTTGCCATTGATAATCATATGATTTTCTATCATGGTTTTCAAGTAGCTGAACTATTTCAGAATAAGAGATATTTTTCAAATCGATAGTATGACGAATTAGATTCGAAGTCAATAGCTGATTTAAACGTTTATTAATACCAAAAAATGCTCGCCAACTATGTCGTGAAGATAAATAATTGAAAATAATAAGCCATATTTCGTTTGGTAATAATTCAAACGTAAGAGTCATTGGTTTTTATTTGAAGAAATCTCAAATCGATACGTTTATCTTTTTATTCAATCGCTCGACTAAGAAACAGTGAATGTTTGTTATCACATTTTTTTTCTTGATCATACCTGTCTGCCGTCCAAATGGACAATAATGTGTAATTGCATTGGTTGTAGTGTTCTTGTAATTTATTTTTCCAAGAGTCAAACAGACTGAAAAGTTGAAGTAGGGGTCAATCACACAGAGAAAAATAATTCAATTTGAAGTTAAATTAGCCAATATCATTGGCGTGTCCACGTAACTTGAGTGTTAATTTATCTTATTTTTTTCGGTGTGATTGACCCCGTAAGCAATATCATTGGCGCGTTATATCTGAAATCTCAAAAAAAAGAGATGATTCATACCTATTAGGTTGAGATTCATGTAAACGATTATGAACGTTATGAACATTAGAAGAGTACATAATTTATTTTTGATAATTGTTCAAGCGATGAATTGAAATGAGTAAAATCTAACTTTTGAATTTAAAAAACAATTGCAGTTAACTTACTCTCTGATATTTATACGTCAGTAGATGATGAAATTGAATAATTTAAGTTAGGTAATGCATCATTTAACTATAATCGTCGTCATTCACAGAATGTCCTCCTATAAAACATATAGCTGTTACCGCACTTATGTAGACAAAATCATATATTGTCTCGTACATCTTCGATTAAAGAAATAAGGAAGCCTGATAATAAGCTGCAAAAGTTCCGCTAAAATGATTTAAAACGAAACCACGATAAGAAAAAGGATTTAGTAACTTAGATATATTTCGACTATTCCTATAGTAATGGTGAGAGTCATATCAAAATAATGTGTGTACGACTATTATATGTATGGTTAAGTTCCGAAGAAATGAAAGAACATCTTTGACGTTATAATCGATAAGATGTTAAAAGCCAAGAACACTATTTTTTGAATTTGTTTGTGAATATAATGCCTGTCGTACAGATCGTTTTTATACGGCTTCGATGATGACTATAAAAATGTTTGAGGTATCAGAGAATTTAATTGAATGAAGGAGACCATTCAGAACAACCTCGTTTCTTTTTAATCTTAAGAAAACTGCCTGATGAAAATGGAAGATAACTTGGTTGAGATAAATAAAAATCGATTTAAATTAAAGGAATAGTACCCAGTCAAGAACTTACAGAAACGAAAAACTAGAAAAATTGTATCGAAAATAATCATTTACGCGAACAAGTCATATTTAATCATACAAGAATCATGTAATGAAATGATATTCAGAAACGCACGTTTTTACACACTAAACACAAGCATTTCAATACACAATTTTGTTTCGCCTTTTATAAATGTTAGCCATTTGGTTCACCTGTGAAACAACCATGCACTCCATCTTTCGATCTATTACTATTATTGATCAGAATAAATCCACTAATGGACACATTTTATCTTATACTCCTGCTTATATATACAGCTAATCGATAAAAACATCGCTTATCATGATCCTCATTTCCTCATTTATATCGAAATAAAACAAATTATTTTGATAATGTATCATCGTTAACAAATTCATTTATTGTTCATGTCATAAATAAACAGCATTCATTAGATTGTTTTACGTGAACATCAATTTTAAATGGTTCAACATTATCAACTGGCATCATTAGTATAACTTCATATTGATAGACTCCTAGATAATGATGATTGTTCATAAGATTACTATTGATAATCTTTTTCTAGTTACTCCACGATGATCAATGAAGAAAATAAGGTTCAAAATTATTTATTTCATTTGTATTTATTTTGTTCACATGGTGATAGTATTTATTATATAAAAAGAATATATTAGACGTGAACGAAGTGAAATAGAAAAATTTATCAAGGATATAAGAGAGATCGAAGTGAAGCTTTGTGTTAATCAACAACATATTGATGGAAAAGAAATATTAGTTCAAAGTTATTTAAAGTTAAATATAACAGTAAATAATTGAATGTTTTTAATGATATTTTGATGTTGCTTTATAGTATTCTATTGTTCAAACATTGGTTTTTGTGCTCAATAAACTAAATCTTTATTCTAAATGTTTCTTTTATTTACGCATGAAAGCTTTCTAGAGAAAATGTTTATAGTCAAGATCAAATAGTCACCTTTAATTCCCTTGTGTAAAATCCTTAACTGCTGCTCTCGATGAGTATGAAAATAAATTGTTAAAAAAACGAAATTAAACTGATATTAAAAAGATAGTTTATAAGATCACTGATTGATATATTAGAAAGAATTAATTGGTCTTGTATAAAGGTTTGTAGGATTGAGATAAATGAATATCAGTGAAAGAATTATTCGAAGTGCTAGTAAAGCTTTTACCAAGATTTTGGACAAAACTATCTTAGAATCTCAGACAGAAATCACATGTGTTTTGATTGTCACTAATAAGGGTATTGGCCAAAATTTGTGAAAGCAAGTCGAATCGGAAAGGAAACAAAAATGTATATAATCATTGTAAGTGAGTGTTTTATCTAATTAAATTGTTTTCTTATTCTTTTTTTATAGTCGTCAAATAGTGAAATATAAAAAAATTATTTACGCTCTCAAGTTGACAATATATGGCAAGATGTTGTGTTGATGAACGTGGAAACCGAACTAAATAGTAGTAATAGTATGGTTAGTAATTCATGTAAAAATTTGTAAAAATATTTCTGATATAATAATTAATCAAAAGAACTTTTTAATGTGAGTTAGCGTGGATCAAAACTTAACCTTTTTTTGATGAAACTATTATCAACTCAGCTAACATAGGATGATCTTTCATTCTTATATGTTTGATCGTCATAGTTTTGAAACTTTATATAAATCTTATTTTATTCTGTTATTCTCTCTATCAATGTCAATTACACTTAAAAGGTTAGTATCTGAACTGATATGTGTAAAACTGAAGTGCATATGATACAGATTCATTGTTTTAGTATTCTTACTTTATTCGACGTAAAACTCATCTCCAAAACTCATAGCATCATCATCCGAGCTGTCTTGTACGTCTTCTTCCATAGCTGTTACACGTTTAATAATATCCGTGGCATCATCATCAAATAATTCGATCGCCCCGACATTTAACATACTTGTTTTAAAATTAGCAATTGAATTATTTTGATATAATTGCTCTTCAGTTTCTGCAATAAAAAAGTTGCAAGAATGACTAACGAGGGAACCATCTGAGGTGGTACATCCCATTTTCATTCATTCATATCTCAGTTAGTTAAGTATATTGAGATAGCAAATACCCTAAAAGGGATTTTCCCCAATCTCATTCCTTCAGTAATTATTTCCATTTTACTGAATTTTCGACCTATTATTAGATATATACCTCAAAAAAATAAACCTCGGAGTTTTGAGCTGAAATTTTACCTATATATAAGTCCAATAGTTATTAGAACATCCTGAAAGTTTCAGCCAAAAAGAATGTTCTTACCTTGAGATATTCAATTTTTAAAAAATAATCGCTTGCTATATATATACAGTAGTCATCATATGTAATGAGTATTATGAACGTGATTAATTTATATGAACAAATATAAATCCTTTATAAATGTTCTTTTTCTTCACTGTCTATCTACACACACACACACACTTATTATTACTATTTTGTTTTATCATGTCACATTTAGGTCAATTTACTGATGATGGTAAGACAATTCGTCGAATTCAACAACAACAACAAAATTTACATAATGACGACGAAAATACATCCATAGGAATGATTCAAGCTAATTATCAGTATACACCACTTAAAGAATATGCAGCTATGAGAAATGGAGGTCGTACAATAAACGACATCAATACTACTAGTTATCAAAGTAAATAAATTAACGATAAAGAAAAAACCCACGTAGATCAATTAAGAGTCTTTTTTCAAGTGATAAATATGAATACTCTAACAGGATCTATTACTTCAGATTTGTATTTAAATACATATCTATGTATATGAAATAAAAGGGTAGAAGGATAAAGAAGTATTAAAATCTAAAATGAATCTTTTTTTTCTTCTTCTTCGTTTCTTTCATCTCTCATTGAAATTTTACAATCGATATCTATTGAAGATTAATAAAGCTTTTGATTCTCGAAATTCTTTTCAATAAGAAGAAAGCACTTGAAGAACATAAAAGTTTAACAAGCAATGTTTTCATCTTAAAAAAAGGCAATTTTTTTGAGACAAGAGGTTATATAAACTTTGATTACGTTCTTTTCTTTTATGAATTCAACAATTGACAAAAAAAACCACAATAACTTTTTTTTATAAAATTGCTACCAGTATTTTTTTCAACCCATATAAAATGTCATCAATATATATATCATATTTATACAATCTAGATGCTTCATCTACTAATTCCGATCGACAATTCTCATCTCAATACAATAGTTCGACACGTTATACAAATCATGGTTTTGAAACACCACCTTCAACACATTTTACAAGTCCAACTATTGATAATATATCAATTCATAATCGTCAACAACAACATTTTATAACTACAACTAATTTAAATGTCAATGATAAAACACCTCATCATCAACAAAATGAATATAAAACTTCATCAACGTATGTATCACCAATTCATGGTAATGAATCAATAACATTTAAACCAACATATCAACAAACTGATCGTTATTCAACTGTTGGTAGTGATTCAGGAATTGTTATGATTAATCCTAATCCTCAACAACAGCAAGCAACAGATGATAATCAAATAATTGAAAAAAAATTAACAAATTTAGTTCAAAAAATAGGACGACAATTAGAAACGGATGCACAAAAATTAAGTGATAAATTAGAATTAAAATTAAAAAATCTAGAAAATATGATACATCAACAAACATATATTATTCGACAACAAGATGAAGTTATTGAACGTCTGAAAAGTAAAATACTTAAAATTGAAACTGAACGTGATCATTTTCGTGAACGTTTATCTATACATGAACAACGTGAACAAGATGATAAGAAATATTTACAGGAAGAATCAAATGGTATAGACATTAGAAAAAAATTTTTTATTTGATTGTTTTATTTTCTAGATCATAAAGCACTTGAACAAGATGATCAACAACAAACATCGTATGATGTATCGGGAGAGAGAAAATATTCAAATTCTTCATCAGTTATGACAGATAACAGCAGACGATCTAGTAAAAAGGTACAGTTTAGAAAAAAATACGATATTTAATAACGATGATGAGAAAGATAATAAACCAAAATGAAATATTGCTTACATAGAGATAGGTAGATAAATTACTTTTTCAGACTGTTTATGTATAGTACAACTGACATTAAACGACAACTTCGTCCCAACTGCAAAGATTTCATAATAAGACTGCATAATGCTCATTTGTCTTGAATTTAATATTCAAATAAATGAGATGAGCACGTAAATGAAATATAATATGACTTGATCATACCTCTTTTAACTAATCTGATCGCATAGCTCAATTTCTCTACTTATAGAAATTAAAAAGCTGTAAGAAGTAATTTCAGTTACAATATTCATATCTTTTAAATAATTGAGATAGGATATTATGGAATTTTCTTAACTTTTTTTAGACACCTGCTCCACGAGTTGATCAACAAGCACCCATCATTAATAATGAACCTAATTCAACTTTAGGAAAACTTATTAAAAGTAAGTTATTTCAATCGGTATGAAAGAAAATAGTTTTTGATTCTACTTCTAGGTATTCCATGCAATAGTCAAGAACGTCCTGTATCTGGTAATTCATCTCCATCAATAGCTGCTAAATTAGCTGCAGCTGTACCTTTAACAGAAAAACCAGCTGCAGCAAGTCGTCTTGATAATATAATTCATCAAAATAATTCATCAGGAACATATTATAATGTAGGTGAAACTCATGAAACTGATCCAAAACCAAATTCAATAGAACACATTGTGACAAAGGTTCATCATAATGATGAATATTCAAAATCATATCAAATATCTGAACCTAAATTACAACGATCAGCTTCGCTATCATCCTCGTCATCATCAACTGTGTCAATGCCAAATCATGCTGAAATTCAGTATGGTTTACCAACAACAAATCATATTGCATTAACGAATAGAAATTCTAGTTTACATCGAAGTTTAGAAGTTATACCACGTAAAACATCACAAAATGAACAAGTATTAAAACCAGCAAATAAAACAGCATCACTTGAATTCGGTGCAAGACCGGTGCGATATGATGAATCAACATCAATCTATGTTACACCACAAGAAGCAACTCATCCAGCTTCGGAATATGAAAATGTTGTTAAAGGTTGGCTTCGAAAACAAAATCGAGGTAAGATTATTTTTTGCACATCAAAACTCCGAAGTTTATTTTTTTGAGGTATATATCTAATAATAGGTCGAAAATTCAGTAAAATGGAAATAATTACTGAAGGAATAAGATTGGGAAAAATCCCCTTTAGGGTATTTATTATCTCAATATACTTAACTAACGGAGATATGAATGAATGAAAATGGGATGTACCACCTCAGCTGGTTCCCTCGTAAGAAAAGCGAATTAAATTTACCGTGAATGTTTGATACATTATTACCAATAGCAAAATAAATACATTCTGACATTGGGTCTAATGTCATTACCCCAATCAACGACTCAAACAGACCTTTTGACAATTTTGTACAATATTGTGCAAGAGCAATTTGAGTGATGTTATCATTTCGATTAATGATAACATTCACGTTACATTCTCCTGTGATACTTGCTGAATCTGTATGTAAGTTCATCACTGCATTTACTAATTTGATATTTTTAATAATCTCGCCGTAAGTAGATAAATCATGAATATCATTTTCTTTAATTAATTTTTCAATTAACCGTTGTTTATTTTCATTATTAGATTCTTTCTTTACACCTCCAAGAATATAGACGGATCTACGTTATGAAAAATATACAATTAAAAAATAATTACGGTTAATTTTCTTCTTTCAAGTTTCAACTTCAGTTATTTGAGATACAATATTCTCTGTTTATTTCAAATTGCACTTCTCTCAGTCTCATCAATCAGTTATTGTTAACAGAAAGGTAATGATTTTTTTAAAATCTTTATATATATATATATCGCAGGACAAATTGACACTTCGAAAAAATTAAAGTTTTAATTTCTCCTGCAACATCTTATACATGGCATCATCATTTACAAGTGAATTACCATACTGCTGAATATGATACATGAAAATCGTTTGAATTCGTGGATTCCTTTTTTTTGAATCTGTTCTCTTTTTATCATATTATCTATTGAATATTTCTAAGGAATGAAGCTCGACAATATCACATCTATTTTACTACACAGATAACATAACATATTTGCATGAATTTATTTTAATAATATACATATAGAAGACGAGGTTTCTTGAATTAATCTGCTGATTTCTCAACTATTACAGCATATTTCAATCGCAACCGAATGAAATACAATTTATTTATAATCTCTTTTATAAAAATAATCAAATATAAACAATTGAAACTCCTTCGTCTTGAATAAAATCTTTTATAACACTTACGATATATTTGCTTTTGGTTTATTTAATTCATCAACATGTGATGCCACGTAACTTAAACATATTTTCATATTGATGTCATCGAGCTTGTCTGGAAAATCATTTCGGTGTTCAATAAAAATTTTATTGTTTTCTTTAAAAAGAACAATAAAAACAACACAGGTATTAGCACCAGTACTAGCTAAATGACCTCTCACGATATCATAATGATCTACTCCAACATTAGGAATGCTTTTCTTTGCATCAGTACTGTTAGCCATTATTTCGATTTAACTATAGAGAAACGATCGAATATGTGATCAGAATATAAATTCACAAGCAAAGAAAAAATCTTTCTTTGGATGACGTCATTTTATCTCATTCTTCGATATGTATATATGTCGTACCGACGTTAGTATATTCGATGCGGCAATCATAATCATATTATTTCAAGTACATGTGAACTTATTTTTCCTTTATTTTCGTAAAAAAGTAACGGTTAGCAAATGATCAATTGCATAAACGTGAGAGGATCGATGTTCAGTGATTGTAATAAAGTTTCAATTAATGATATATACCTTTGAAGTGATATTATTTCGTCTGATAATATTTTTCCTAAAATATATATATAATCAAAATCAAGGAAAAAAATTAATTAATACGAAAAAATAGAGATGAAAACTGATTGATTATCTGTATGAAAAATATTAATTTTGAATTGAAGCACGTTTAATAATTCCATAAAGTGATATTATTATAGCGGAATTTGGTATATACAATTACGAGGTAATCAACCAGAAAATAGACCCTTTAAACCACGTAGGTGAAGTTGGCTCCATATTCTACTAAAACCAGGGTGTGGGTATCTCTTCTCTTAGCTCACACCTACACCCACGTTTACCCAAACACTCACTATAAGCAGCTTTCATTAAACTTAATGGCGAAATCAGAACTTCCTTAGCAGAGAGTTCAGCTTTTGAACACTTTTTTCAAATCTGTCAAAAAGAGTACAAATTTTCAGAAAAGCTATTGAGATCGACAGCATCCGTCACTTTCTGAAATTCTTTTCACATGTACATTTTTTTGAAGTTTTTATGGATAAATTAAACAACTAAAAGCTAGTAGTTATAAATTTTATTTAAAAATATGTTCTGTCTAGGGGTCGACATAGTTCAGTTCTAGTACAGAGCGGTTCACTTTTTTAGAAGACTCAGCTCGCCAACCTGAACTGTTCTAACAGTCCTTTTCAACGAAGTGAACTGATTGAAAAGTTTACTTCCTTTGAACCGAGCTCTATAAACAGCTCATTTGCACAAACTGAACTCTATTATGAACTCATTTCAGGGAACGCCGAAATGTACATATACCTCTCCTATCACGTAGGAGTATCCATGAGTCATCATATGCTATACTAGAAAGTACCCTTGGATTCTCATATACTATACTAGGGGCGCATTCTTAGATCCTTATATCCTGATCCTATTGAATTTATTAAACGTTAGTTTGAATTCGAATTTGGATTTGATTCGATGTCTCGACTTTCACTTGGCTTTGATCGGATTCCATTCATATTTCATTTGGGTTTGATGCGATTTCATTTGAAATCTATTAGATTTTATACGGATTTCATTTACATTTCATCGGATTTTATGAGATTTCATTTGGATTTCATTGCATATCATTTGAAACCTATCGGATTTCATTAGGATTTTAGCTGGATTTCAAGAATTTCGAAACGATTTTTGCCACTATCTTTTCATCCCTTTGTTTTGCTGAAAGACACTCTATATATATTGAAAATTCTTATAAACCTTATGATTTTTAATTACATAAATCTAATCGAATAAAATCTCCTCCACCACCAACAAATAAAAAAAACTTCTTTATCAACACATCTTTGTTCACTAACATATTTATTTCAAAAATCTTCACCATATAAAAAACGTCAAGATATTACATCATCATCTTGGATGGGGTGATTCAGGTGTTTCAGATTGTGAATCTTCATCAAATCATAATCCAACATTAGATTCATCAACAACACTTACAGCACGTTTATCATCTATTACATTAGAAAAAACTGATCTTATTGTACAAGATATTCCATTTGAAAAAATCATTTAAACCTAATTTAATGAAATCACAGTTATTAATATCAAGTAATGGTGTATTTACACAAATTATGAAGAAAAAACAACGACAGAAAAGGTAAAAAAATCTTGCACAATATCAATTCAAAATGAATATATATAGTAAACACAATTACATTAGTATTGAGGGACGAGCATTGCTTTGTGGTTACTTCGTATTTTACAAAATGATCGTTTTGCCAAACAATTGTGTGTGTTCACTCCAAACCACTGGCGCTCTCTTGTCCCTTTTTTTAAAATAAATTAATAGTAGACATTGACATCTAAAACAATAGTTTTATATTTTAATAATCAACGTCAATCAGTTACTTCAAATAATCGATTGTTTCATCATGAACAAGAAATATCAACATCAACAACAACGTCTAATAGAATTCATTTTCGTCGTCTTTATGAAAGTTATGAAGGTGGGTGTGGGTGTGGATTAAGAGAAGATAAGTATACATATTCACACACCCACACCTACACCCTAGTCGATTATCATTTTATCATAAAGAGTTGCTCTAGAGAGAAATCAAGGTTTTCTTAATGATAGTTTCATTAAAAGATTTTTAAGTAAATGATTTTAATTCGAAGGATAAATTATATGTTTCACCTGATAGAAAAACAATGTCATTTAGTTTATGGCAATGAAAACAGTTCTGCATTATTCAGGTACATATCATTGCCCTTTTCACCACCAGCAATTAACAACGTTCTATTTGTGAGTATAGTTGCTGTATGCTGCTGTCGTGCCATATTCATGTTAGTAACACTTGTCCAGATTCCTGTTGATGGATCATATAATTCAGTATTATTTATACAAACATTATTTTTTCCATCAGTAACTAATACTTCTCCGTTAGACAATAATGATGCTGTATGAAATGCCCGTGCAATATTCATGCTACCTGTAATTGTCCAATTACCGGTTGATGGATCATACAATTCAGCACTTTTTAGATAACCACCATTAGATCCACCAGCAACTAACACTTTTCCATTTATTAACGTAGATAATGTACTACCCTGTCGTGTAGCACTCATACTACCAGTAGGTATCCAGATTTTCATCAATGGATCATATAATTCAGCACTATTTAGGGGACCACCTTGAGTAAGTCCACCCGCAACTAACACTTTTCCATCTATTAATAAAGATGCTGCATGATCAACGCGCAAATCATACATAAATCCTGTTTGTGTCCACATTCCTGATAATGGATCATATAATTCAGCGGTGTTAAGAAAACCATTACCACTATTTCCACCATTAATCAATACATTTCCATTTGCTAATGTAGTTGCTGTGTGAGAAGCTCGTCGAACAGCCAGCATTGCCGTAGCTGCCCAACTATCTGTTGATGGATTGTATACTGCAGCAGTATCTAAAAAAGTATCATCTCTAATTCCTCCAACAACTAACACATTTCCATTTGTTAATACAGATGCTGTATGTGCATATCGAGCATAGTTCATACTACTAGTGGTTGCTCAGACTCCCGTTGATGGATCGTACAATTCAGCACTATTTAGAGGAATACCATTATATCCGCCAATAACTAATACTTTTCCATTTGTTAATATAGATGCTGTGTGAAATTTTCGTGCAACATTCATGTTTCCTGTCATTGTCCATTCTAGATAAGGAAGAAAAGTAAGATTAAAAAATGTTGTTCAAAGAATAACTTTGAATTTCTCATGCGGATATGTTATCTATCTAATCCTCAATGAACTTCGTTTTCCTTTCATGAATAAGATAAGATCTATTAGAAGATTTTAAATCAATTTCAAGAAATAATAACGTTAAGATCCTCAGATTTCAGTAAATTAATGAAAAATATCTTATAAAGGACTTGATCGATATTCATCAAGCTCTATCTATTCTAAATTGATGTCATCAAAAACATCAGATTAAATGTTGGCAGGCATGTCTCATATCGATACTATATCAAATAGTTCTTTGACGTTTGGAAGCATACCGATAAATCAAATAAAAATCGGTTATCTTAATGAAATTAAAACCTGTCCTTTCAGTTGTAAAGGTAAATATCACTCTTTTCTCCATATAATCTTAATTTGATGTTTCTCAAATTATTTTCTTTTATGTCTCATTGATCGTGCAACTGTTATCGACTAAGCATACTTGCTATATGAGTCTTGTGTAACTTTTATATACATAATAAACAACAATAGAGCATTTCTCTCGATTAAATGCAACTGATAATCCACACAATAGAACAAATGTATTAAAATGACCAATGAGTTATATCGAACGAAAAACCTCCTTAATAACAATATCTTCACATATGATACTGTTGAATAGGGTGTACATACTCAATATGTAGCTCAGTGAAGATCGCATCAAGGCAATAAATGTTCTCTAATGTGGTTTGCCTAGATGATAAACATTCAATCGATAAAATCAAAACCTTTTGATGTCTTTATTTGTAGTAACTATCCTTTGAGCAACTATAAATCATTTAATAAATTACTTACGCGGTGTTGTTGTTGATGATGTTGTAGTTGATAATGTAGTTGATTCTAGTTTGTAGAAATTAGTTTACTATAAAACCAAACGATTAGATAATGTTTCACTCCTAATTTCTTACTTCTTCTCTAACCATATGTGGACTGTAAATACGAGTGCTTTAGAATAAAATACCAAATCTTACAAGAGAAAGTCCCCAAGTGTGAGTCTTCGTTTTGAATCGAATGTATTCCAATTGATAGAGCTCAATGAGACTAGAAAACGCTCAAAAGGATTCTTCCCCATACTCGGCGCTTCTTCAGTTCTGGCCATGTACATATGAAGCAACTAAAACTACGAAATTTTGAGCTGAAACTTTGACTACAGATAGCTCTCATAGCCATTAGAATGTCCTACAAATTTCAGTCTGAAAGAATGTTTCCTTCTTGAGGTATTGAGTGTTGAAGTCGCTCGGTTTTCTGACATTTGCTTGTGGGGCATGATCGTTTTCCAGATACTCAATGTCTCAAGAAGCGCCGAATATGGGGAAGAACCCTTTTAGGCGTTTTCTAGTCTCATTGAGCTCTATCAATTGGTATACCTTCGATTCAAAACGAAGACTCACACTTGGGGATCTTTCGTCGTAAGCCAAGTTACGATCAACGGAACTTTTTTTCTCAACTAGTATAAGATTTATATCATCACTTAATCAAAAACATGAAGCACTTAGATAATACTCACTTCTTTGTGGTGATGTCGTAACTTTTAATGTAACCATTTTTGTAATTGTTGTAGTTTTTTCATCTAAAGCCAGTCAAAAAGTTATTACAATAGAAAAATATACAAGCAAAGTAAAAACCGTTAACATAATGTATGAAAATACAACCTATAAGGGGAGTGCCCAATGTTGGTCGGGAAAATCTGATAGTACATATTCGGCAGATCAGAAAACGGGTCTGGGTGTGAGTGAAGGTTTGAAATATGAATACGACTATTTTTCATCAGTACACACAACCACTCATACGGGCACTACATTCACACCCTCACTCACCCACTCTCCCTCTCACTCTCATCCACCTATCAGCCTACTGCCTCACCACTATTGACTTCCTCTCCATCACCCTCATCTTTACTCGCACTCAAGTGCTATGAAAAACACTCATATACACATTCTTTTCGTTAAAATACATTAGAGCATTTTCTATTTTCATAAACTAGGTGATACTTCACCCAACCGCCCCCCCCCTCGAACATCCATAGCCATACCAGCTCCTCCCGACCTTTATCTGAACCGAGGAGCGTATCATGGAAAGTTTGATGACGCCAGCTAATACGGGGACCTCTGGGTGAAATTTCACCCACGCTCCTTCCCCACCCCTCGATAACCATGCAAATCTCCCATAGACCTTCTGTAGGATCTACGAAACATCGTAGACAGTTTGGTGATCGTAGCTATTACAAGGACCGAATACATAGCGAGCACACAAACATTGTTCTTTATATATATATAGATATCTAACGATCCGCAAAACCTATAGCTAAAACAATATAGTTACCATATACTAGTAAGTATGTTATATATATCTAAAGGCTTGCCGGCCGACAGTCGAAAATAAAGATTGGATATTTACTATACATATGATAATGTAGACGCTGAGACATTTCGTGATAGGGATGGTATTTAAGTTGCGATCAAAATAAGGGATAGTATGTGAATAGAAAGGATAAGATGTGAAACAATTGAGGATTGTTAAGTCGCATCCATTGACGAAGCTACTTATTTTATGAAGATCCAGAAAAGCCACAGGTTTAAGAACAAAGAATCGTCTTGTTTGTCGTCAAAATTTAGTTTTAAATAAAAAAGATTATAGACTCTGCTTATAACAGGATTTATAAATTCAAAAAACTTTTCTAAGGGGTTTATGGCAGGATAGATCGCTTTCATCCACTATTTAGAAACGTTTTTATACCGATTTCTGTCAGGATGTGCGTATGTGTGACTAAGAAGTGAACACCCATACCATCGCTCAGTTCCATACCCACTCTCAAAAGCAACTATACCTGTTATTACTGTTATTATTTTTATGTTCGTTGTAAGTGGCCCGGTATATCTTAGAACAAGCATTATTAGAGCAACACTAATTATAATCCCAACGAATACAAGAAGAATCATGCAGCACACTTTTTTTCTCCTTGGAACGCTTCTAAAAATGAGAATATTATTGACTTTTGTAGTAGAACAATAATCTATATACACTGTTGTCATTGAAGAAGGGTGTCCTTCAATTGTATTCGCGACCATTTCGTAGTTCTGAAATTGAATTGAAAGAAAAGGATTGTCCTATCTCTTTATTTGTAATAAGATCAATTACATACTTCATGATTTTCATTCATTGCTTCATTTGTATTCGACATTGTTCTAGAATTTCTTTTCATTCTTTCTTCTAGAAAAAAGAATAGTATATAAATATGATTGTTATCACTGATGTTAAATGAACATTCAGCGTAAGCAGGACTAATATATACGTATCGCCTATATGAAATTCTCTTTTAGGGGTACTGATAATTCAAAATGAACTCGTGGATATTATGATCATCGAGCATTCATACTCATAACTATACTACAAATCATTACCTATTCTCTTTTGAATGATAAATAGAACGAAGGGTTAATTATTCAATAATTTTCTTTGCTCGAACAATCTCATCTAGATGTGCAAGCCGTCAGCTTCGGCAAAAATCGGCTAACGGCTTTCACCTCTAATCTGATCAATCTAACAAATGCATCGCTCTAAATCATCGACAAATAAAAACTTACTTCTCTTTTTGCGACTCTTTTTTTTAATATATATATAAAAGCAGATGCGAGTGATTATCTAGCATAAATACAGCACATGTTAAAAACCGTACATGATTTTCATGCAGGAGACGGAAGTAAATTGTTTCAATCAACATTTTTAATTATTTTTGATAAAGTGCGATACAATAAAAATTATTCTTTTGCGCAGGAAATATATTTTTCTGACGTAGAAAAAAATGTTGTTAAATAGAATATTTTACTTCACTGCATCTGTCTGTCTACAGAAATAACGGTATTACGAAAGATGCTCGCGAAACATTTGCTTCCGTGACACTTGCTTACCGGACATTTGCTCTCGCAACATTTGCTCCCCATGGACATTTGCTCCCCAACGGCACTTTTTCTCCAATGACATTTTCTCTTCTATGAGATTTGCTCTTCAACCGTATGAAACAGACTAGGGTGTGGGTGTGGGTGAGGGTGTTGGAAACGAATGAGAGGAATATACACCCACACCCTCAAGACTGTGAACCAGAAAATTATATTGATTGTGAGATGATGGCGAAAGGTTGTTATCTTAAGTTTAATCGTCTTGCATACCGATGTGTATCTTAATAGCTTATGTGTAACAGATACTGATAAAATATATTGGGTAGTGTCTTATTTATGCATGTAACTCTCAGTGGCGCGGGAAATGAACCAACTTTTCTATTATATACATCCGTTCTTATTTATATAGTGTTTCACAAAACTAATCATACGACTACCGTATATGCCAGTATGCAGAACAAAGCAGTTTATTTTATAAATTTTCGATATATTTACATGACCTCCGTATATCTCTGCTTTTGTTCGGAACCACTCGTTCACAACTGAACATGTTCGATTTAAGTAATTTAATACAAACATTGAATATTATTCATAGGAGGCATTTTTTTTTCTTTTCTGATTTTTACAATTTCATCATCTATGATGAATAATACTCGTGTAATGGCATATAGTATTGCACAATACTATTGCAAGTATATAATTACATGTGTATCTGGACTCCAAATCATTTGAAAAAAAAACAAGTTATGTCATTCAATATTCGTTCTCAATTAAGTTCTTTTGAAACGGAACTTATCAATCGTGTTCATGCTCATTTTCCAAATAATGAACCAACAAAATTTCTTTTTTTCTATACAAAAGCATCTCCGTTTGGTAATTTTTATCCGAGTATAATTATTGATAATGGTATTCAATTTCATTGTACTGAGCAATATATGATGTATCATAAAGCAAGTTAGTAAATATTTCCATTTTTTTTAGTTTTTATATAACTTTTCTCTAAAATATTTAGAATTATTTAATGATGATGAGACTGCTCAAAAAATTCTTGAAGCAACTACACCTGGCAAATGTAGAGGATTAGGAAGACAAGTTAACCATTTTAATGAGACTGTATGGACTAATAATCGAACAAGAATTGTTTCCGATGGAAATTATCTCAAAGTAATATATTTTATATTCAATAGAATTTTTATATGAAATTGTAACTTAGTTTACACAACATGCAGATTTAAAAGAACAATTATTAAATCATCAGGACACATTATTTGTTGAAGCTTCACCAACAGATACTATTTGGGGCATTGGATTAGCAGAAGACGATCCATTAATCAAACAGCGATCTACTTGGAAAGGACTTAATTTAATGGGTTATCTTCTAACAGATATTGCTTATCGTTTACGTAATGAAAATTGACACATTTTTATTCATTATCTGACAAACAATAAAAAAAATATTTACTGAAATGGATTAACAGTATTTCTATAAATATCATCTTTCATAAGAAAATGAATGAATTCATCTTTAGTTACACGACCATCTTGTGATATATCTAGTTTTTTCATTAAATCTTTTGCAAATTTTTCTGGTGGATAATCTTGTACATGTTTTATACCTAATAAAGTATACATTGCTCGAAGAACTGGTTCAATTTCATCTGAAATTAAATAAATATTTCATTGTGTACTTTCATATATTTATTTATTTATCATTTACCTTCTGTTAAGTATCCATTTGAATCGAGATCATAACATTCAAATGCATAATTTAAACGTGATCGAAGATCACCATGTGATGATATTGCAAAACCAAGTAGAAATTCACCAAATTCAACATAACCATTTCCATCAACATCAAACGCACGAAATATATGATCACACATATCATTTAAACGTTCAGGTGTTTCATTTCGTAATAAACGATAAAATTGACGAAATGCAACACGATCAAGACGTCCATCAGGATTATCATGAAAAAATTTTTTATGCCAACGTAATATTTCTTCGGATGAAAAACCTATGAAGAAAATTCATAGTTGAACAAAGGTCAATACAATCTATTACATTATTCTTACCTGTTTGTGTAGAAAGAAAAGCAAGATCTCTTTCGGATAATTGCCAACGACTTGGCTGTTCCTCATCAACTACTGTTAATGTTATCGGTTCAGAGACTGATTTTTGAGATCGTCTTCTATTTTTAATAGCACATTGTGACATATTTGATGCACTTTTTGTATTGCCCATTATATTATCTACGAGGAAATGTGTCGAGTCAATAATTGCACAGTACTCTCTTTTTGTTATATGATCAAATGCAATGAATAGAACACTACATACCTAGTCAAGGTATAGTTTAGATGAATAAATGTATATTTACTTTCTTTTCTTTTTATCTGCATACCAATGTATGTCCTTTACTTTTGAATAGTATCATATACGTGTAACAATCATAAGAACGATTAATTAATATTGATGATTTTTACATCATTCACGTGTGTGTACGAGCTTTTCTGTTCGTTATATTATATAGAGGTCTCTGATAGTTGATGTTATTTATAATCTTTTTTATGTTTTGTTGCTTCTATTAACCAATATAAATTATGATTGTTAATAGTATTGCCTTGACAAATGGCGAAACCTAATATTACATGCTCAAGATTCATAATGCTTGAAGATTATTTTACATAGTCATTAGAATATGATAAGAAGAAGGCATTAGTATAAAAATGAACACAATAAAAGTACATGCACATCCATCACAATTACAACGTTCAACAATAATTCCATTTCGTTATCGAACTTTACTTTATTTAAATATATTTTTACTGGCTATTGATCTTTGTATTAATACATTTGGTGAATATCTAGCACCGAATAAATATGAACAACTTATTATATTTATGTAAGTATAAAAAAAGAGGATCAAAGCCTATTGTAAAATTCATAATCATAATTTTAGTGTTCAAGATGTATGTATTGTTCTTTCAATAACTTTACTTATTGTTATGATATTAACAACGTATGTTGCTCAAGCTGGTTTACTTTGTCTTCTTCTTCGTATGTTTGGATTTTCCATGATTGTAGCATGTATTTATTTCCTATTATGTGCAGCAATTCAAATTCTTATACTTGTAAATATTAACCCATTATTTTCATCAGTTAAAAAATTATATTTTTATTTCATAGCTATCACGTTTTCCCAGTGATACATTTAATATGAATACATTTTCAAAAACGGAAATATTAATTTTATATATTATTCAACGAACATGTATGATTATTCGTAGATTTCATTTTATACTTTATTTATATTTTAGTTTCTGCCTTTTATTATTATGCAATGAAACGAGCTGCTTATCGTTTGAGTGATCCGCATTTTTATCAATCATCAAAATGGTTACAGAACATTTGGTAAATACTCATGTCATAGATATTTAGATATAAAAAAATTCTGTTTTTTTTATTCCATTAGGGAAAAACGTCGTATGGCAGTGACAAATGTAGCAATGCATGCTAGTCAATCAGGAATGACAACTAGTCGATGTATTTGTTGTGCAATACAGTAAAATAATTTCTTTTTGTGTCTCAATATCAATCTCATCTAATCCGTTCCATGACTTTTTTTAATGTTTTGTAATAATATATATTGTTTTTGTAGATTAAAAAATATAGAAAAAGAAAATGTCTCTAACATATTTGAAACTTCGTTTAAAATTACCATCAAATAATATGTTAGTATTTATACGAACTTATCGTCAAGCACAAAGATCAACTGGACCTAAATGTAAGTCTAATAGTTCTCTACTAGATAATTAATGATTGATATTACCTTCAGCTCAAGAAGGAGAATTTCGAACATTACAATTAACACCAGCAAAAAATAATCGATCTGGTCCAATGAAAAAACGTCCAAAACCTGTATACAAAGAGGTTTTACCACCACGATATTTACGTATGTCAACTGATCAAGATTGGACAAATGTTTGGCCAACAGCTACAACATTTAAACAAAGTGTTGTTCCATTACCTATAACTCAAGGTTATGTTGCGTCCGATAAAGAAAATAAAGGTTTACCAATTGAAAAACGTGCTAATGCTGAACTTATGAAAATTCCAAATTTTTTTCATCTAACACCAAATCATATAAAGAAACATTGTGCTGCAATTAAACGTAAATTATTTAGTGTCTATAAATATGTCTATTTCTTTTGATTTAATTTAGAATATTGTACACCATGGCCAGAAGAATTTAATTCAGATGAAGCATGTGAATATTATTTACCTATACAAATAACTACACATGATTATCTGAATTCAACACCATCAATACGAGATACTCGAGCTCGTGTTGTAAAATTTAATGTAATTATTCTAAGATAATTTCTGCTCTTTTCTTATCGCTTAGTTTTTTTTCTTGTAGTTTAAATTGACTCAACTTGAATTTGATGAACATGCTCGTGATAAATTTGTTCGTTTAGCTGGACCAAGATACAATACAGATACAGATGAACTTACTTTAGTTGCTGATAAGTATGAAAATAGATTAATATCTTAAAATTGAGATAAATAGTAGAATATCCCCGGCGGCATTTCATGATTACAATCGAATACTGATCATACCTTGAGTTTACAGGTGAAAAAAAGTATTTCTTATCAAGAACCAATGAAGCGAGTTTGTACTCCAACACTCCGTATATATATATATTTGTAAACAAAATAGTAATTACAAATAAATTATATGATATATAAAAATATTATTAGTTATCAGCGGTTATTTATTTGTTTAGATGTCCATATCGTAAACAAAATTATGATTATGCTCAATATTTATTAACAGCATTGTATTTTGAATCTTGGGTAAATATATTTATAATACCATTGAATATTTCAGTAAGTTTTTTCTTTAATTATAGAAAACAGAGACTTGGGAACAAGAACGAACAAAGAATGATTGGCAACGATATTATTGGGATGAAAGTCCTTCACGTGATCGATTACTTGATATACTCAAAGCTCATGAGGTTTGCCTTATTGATATGAAAACTTTTGTTAGATTTGTTTTTTTTTTGTTTTATAGAAAGATCCATCTTCTGTGAATTCGAAATCATTACTTGATCGAAATAAAAAACTCGTTGAAAGATATCGTAAAAGTATAAGTCGTGTTCAAGATGAAGGTGTTGAAAATGAATTAAAAAATTTAAAAGATTATAAAAATGATGTACTCATGTTATACAATCTAAAATTATAATAGAAAAATAAAGATATATCTAGTCGAATGTGTTTTTTGTTTTTAGATTATTTTTTAAATGCCTGCAACAGATCTTGATAAGCGAATATCAACTAAATATGGTTGGCATGTTGATTTCGACAAACAATTTGATGCAACATGGCGGCCATTTGGAAGACCAAGACTTAAACAATTGGTTGAATATGTACCGCTATTTATGAGGTAAATTTTGATGAATTAAAATAAGATGAATATTATTTGAGTATATGCTAGATATCTTCGTATATGGTATAAATTAAGACGAGCAAAACGAAGAGCACATATGGATTTTATTAATCCAATACCACTACAACAAATTTATGGTAAGAGAAAAAGAAAAGATTTAATCGGTAGAATTCTATCTTTGATATAATAGGTGCACCACTTGGTGGTTTGGGTTGTGGAACAATCGGTCGCGGTTTTAAAGGAGAATTTTGCCGTTATCAACTTGTACCAGGTCTTTATGAATTTCATACTGTTGAAGCAAATACAGTTAGTTGATTTTTTTTCTTTTGAATATTTTTTAAACTTTGGAAAATCTATTAGTTTACTGTTTGTATTCGTCGTCGACATACAACAACATATTGTCAAGTTTTAACACCTAATCATTTACGAAAAAAAGGATTCCGCGCATGGAATTGTGCATTTCCAAAAGAAAATGGTCATTACCATGCTTTATATCCACAATCATGGACGACTTATGATTTACCTGGTCAAAATATTCGATTACTATGCCAACAACTCTCACCTTTTATACCACATAATTATAAAGTATTCTTAACTAAAATTTTCTTTAAAATAATTCTTCATTTTTTTCTATTTAAGGATTCGTCTCTTCCAGTTGCTTCTTTTGTTTGGTATATTGAAAACTTACATGATGAACCAGTTGAAGTTAGTTTAATGTTTACATGGCAAGCTGGTTCCGCATCTGATGAATTCGCTTGTGAAGATGTTGTTCATGAAACAGTTAATGTTTCCGATTCTGATCTATCTGCTACTGGTATATCAATAAAACAAAAACTACGCGATATGAAACTTGAATATTGTATATTAGGAAAAAAAGAAGTTTGTATTATTTTAATATAGATTAAATAATTCTATTGGAAATTTTCTAGTCCGATAATATAATAACAACACGAACAAATTTTAATACCGATTCCGAAACTGAAGGAAACGATGTATGGTTTGATTTTGTTACTGATGGTCAATTAACAGATGCAGAATCGCATCTTTCAAAAATATCAACAGTAAATACAGCTAGCTGTGTATCTATAACAACAACAGTTGAACCAAATTCTATTAAAACATCTGAATTTGCACTTGCTTGGAATATGCCAGAAGTTAAATTTGGTCTTGGACAAAAACTATATTCAAAGTCTGAAAATTTATTTCTATAAAATTTTTATTTTTTCATTTAAAGATGGTATACAAAATGGTTTGATAAATCAACATTAAATGGAACCGTCCTTTGTCTTTATACAATGAATAATCGATTAGCATGGGAAGAAGCTATTGCTAAATGGCAAAAACCAGTTTTAGATGATACGTAAATAAATAAAAATTTATTAAAAAAGAAACAATATATTCTCAATATTTTAGATCATTACCAGATTGGTATAAAAGTGCACTATTTAATGAATCCTATTTTATAGCTGATGGTGGTTCCATCTGGCTTGATGTAAGTGATGATACTACATTACCTGATCATGTTAGAAAATGGGGTCGATATGGATATTTAGAAGGTAATTGATTTTTTTTTCTCATTTGCATACTATTATTTATAAAATTCGTATTTATAAGGTCATGAATATCGAATGGTGAATACATATGATGTTCATTTTTATGCTTCATTTGCTCTGATACAATTATGGCCGGAATTGGAATTAAGTATTCAATATGATTTTGGTAAAGAATTAAAATTTATTGTTCATAGTAATATTTAATAATTATTATAGCACGATCAATTATTTATGAAAAACTTGAATCAAGAATTTACTTATTTCATGGTCAAGCAGGTCAATGGAAAACATTACATTCTGTTCCACATGATCTTGGTGATCCCGGTAATTAGTATTTGATAATTTCATTCCTATGAAAAACTTCTATTTAATAGATGAAGAACCATGGTTATTAATTAATGCTTATATTGCTCATGATACAGCTGACTGGAAAGATTTAGGTCCAAAATATCTATTACAAATATATCGTGATTATATGTATACTAAAAATAAAGATTTTCTTGCTGATGTATGGACAACTGTTAAAGTAAGAATTTAGAAGAAAAACAAAATCTTGAATATTTGAGTTTTTCTCTCTTTTTCTAGTTTGTTACAGATCGTCTTAAAAAACAAGATACTGATGGTGATGGTTTAGTGGATAATGGCGGCTTTGCTGATCAAACATATGATGCATGGACAGTCGTTGGAGCAAGGTATTGTATAATGATTAAACTTTTATAGAATAATTATTGGATTCTGGTTTTTTAGTGCATATTGTGGAGGTTTACATATTGCCTCTCTTCGTGCTTGTGTAGAAATGGCTCGACTTATGAATGATACAAATGCTGTTGATGAATATGAAGTATGGCTTAAATTAGCTAAAAAATCTTATGAAGAAAAATTATGGAATGGTTAGTCTATTTCTCTAATTGTTCATTTATATTGTAATCTTTCTCTTTAGGTAAATATTATAATTATGATTCCAGTATATCACTTCATCATGATAGTATTATGTCTGATCAATTAGCTGGTTTTTGGTATTTACGTTTATCCGGTCATAAATATGAAGTAAGATCTTATTTAGAAATCAAATAATCAATTTCTTTTTTTAAGGATTTCAACAAAGAACGAGTAGATAGTGTACTTGATACGATCTTTAAATCAAATGTCATGGCATTTGGTAATGGTAAACTAGGTGCTGTCAATGGAATGACAAAATCAGGTGAATTAGAAATTGTTAGTATGCAATCCGAAGAAATATGGACTGGTATTACCTATGGTTTATCATCAACAATGATGATGGAAGTAATATTCTATTAATTTCATTTGATTTGATTTTTTATGTTTAATTTTTATTAGGATCGCCGAAAAGAAGCATTCCTAACAGCAGAAGGTATTTATAATACATGTTTCAATGAAGCTGGTTTAGCTTTTCAAACACCAGAAGCATTAACCCGTGATGCACATTTTCGATCTGTAAGTATTTGTTTTACAAAAAAAAACCTGAACTCTAATTTATTATTTGATATTAGTGTGGTTACATGCGTGCATTAAGTATTTGGGCAATACAAAAAGCATTGGAATTATCTAAACTGGAAACAGAGACCAATAGTAGTATCAGAACAGATTATGTTTAATCTAATTTATTTCTTAAAGTTCGGTGACGATAGTTAACTTACTGTGAATTAAATATTTTCGTTCTTTAATCGTATAGATAATGACGAATGTTAAGATTAGTCTGTTGTTTTTTTACATTTTTTCATCATTCCTCCTACGTGCGATAATAATTCAACAAATTGTATATTCACGCATATACGCTTTTTCTTTTTATTCTAATATTTATATATATCATTCTCATCTTTTATTATGAGAATTAAATAATCAAGCAAAAATAAAAAAAGAGAATTTTAACATTAATCGTATTTTATTATACCATGGTTCATTAAATGACGTCTGACATTCAACAGGACCTTTTTTTTAAATTATTCTTGACACGAGATCAAAAGTTACACTCTATTTTATGTTCTCTCGCCGAGTTGAATCAAAGGTCTTGTCAATATTCACGTATTTATGAATATAAGAAATTGAATATAGTTATAAAAAAAACGAATTTGTTAGATCTACTTCAAATGTTCTCACTGATGACTAGTTAAACATAACACATTAACAAAACTAAAATTCATTGAAGAACACAAACAGAACTTCGAGCATTAGCAGTTCGACGTTTAGTATTTCTTAATCCTACACCCAATGAATGATGTCGTTCACGTTGTTCACAACCTATTTAAAGAAAATTCATGCATAAAAATATAATTGAATGATACATACCACGTTTATAAACTTCACGATTAAATTTTCCATATGAAAGATTTTCTCTAAAATATATTCGAATATAAATAATGATCAATTGTTCATCTATTTTCTTACGTATGTAAAGCAGGTTTAAGTTTAATACGAAAATGAGCAATCACAGGTTTATGATCCGAATGTTTCACACCTTCAATTGATTTATATTGTGTACAGTCAAGTAATGATGTTGGTTTATCTCGATAAAGAATACGATCCTATGAAATTCAACGGAAAGATAGATTGTGACTCTATAATTAAATAAAGATTCGTACTGTATATGATGGCGTTCGATTTTTAGTATAATTATCCGTAGTAGAACGAAGATCAAATTTGTATGTTGGAGGAAATTCAATCGTTGCTTCTTTAAAGTCTGCATAGAGACCACCTATTTAATCATGAAAAAAACAAATTCTTTATTTTTTTTTTCTATAGAGAAAGGCTTCTTTACCAGATGACTTTTTGTGAGTACGAAATTCATCGTTCTCTAGAATTTGATCATATTTTTGTTCTTTACAAAGTTCGACTACTTCGTTATGTGACATATTAATTCGAAAATTTAGATCACCTCCCCATAGAACACAATCACATGATTTTGTCATATCTAATCAAAATAAATATTTATCCAATTCTAATATGACAAGATAAATTTGATTGAAAATTTACCTACGCCCGTATATGGAGCAGAATCAAGTGATGTTGTTGATTCAATACGTCTTATACTTTCTGTTTTTTCCGCCGTTGATAGATGTTTATTTATTAAGACAGTTCGTTGAACGAAACTATGTGGTATAGTTAATTTATTCACTGTATTTTCAAAGTTCAATCGTCGATTTGATCGACCTTCAGAACCTTCACCAGCTAAATAAATTCAATCGTATTATTCTGAATTATTTTTTTAAATATAATTCTACCTTCAAAATGTGAATTAATAACCATAAATGATGTACCAAAAAGATTAAAAGTAACAGCTAAAGAAGCTTTCGTACGAACGGGTCCTACCGCTCGAAATTTTATAACATCGTCTTCAGGTTCTAAATAAAAACTAACATAATATTTAAAAAACTATCTTTTCTTTTCGATATATACCACTACAAAACCAAATTAAATCTCTTCGTAAAAATATACATAACGATAAAGTACCAAAATGAATTGAATGAAATAAAACATGTTTTGGACCAATAACTTCTTGAAGTAAAACTTCCCAATCGAGTCTAAATCAAAGAATAGACATATATTTATATTAATATATCGATATAGTTAATACCCTTTTTTCGTAACAGATACTTCTTGTGTACAAATAATAATTAAATCCGAAACATAATCAATAAATGTCGGTAATAATATATCAGACATATCATCTAACATACGTTGTTTAGGTTCAGCAGTTTGTCTATCTGTTGGAGTATAATTTTGTTCATATAATTTTGATGCTTCACCTACATTCCATGTAACCATCATTATTGTTAATGGTCGTCCATTTGGAAAACAATATGAAAGATCATCTGTCACATTCTCTGGTAATTGTTGTCCGGATCCAACAAGAAAATTTCTATTTAAAAAGAAATTTCTATTTAGAAAAAAAAGCCGAAAATATATCTTCTTTTCTTCACCGTCCTCGAGCAGCAGGTATTGGAAGTAAATGACTGGAAGAAATAAGTGCTTGAAGTTTGGAAAAACTACTTCGTCGACGACTACCACTATCAGTTGATGGAACATTTGCACTCTCTTGTTCTATCAAAGGAATCTTACAAACCAATGCAGCAATAGTATTAGCAGATTCTTCTGTAACTGGTAACGGTGAAGTCGATGGAAGTTGTGAACTACCTGATTCATCTTCTTTCACATCATCTGCCATTGTCTCTCTCTTACATTGAAAAAATAAAATTATTTAACAGTTTAGAAAAATTGATTTCTTTTTTATGGATTATGCACGGTACGTTATATTTTGATTGATTAAAATAGTTTTTTTTATACGTTTCTGTTTCCATAGAAACAAGATTTATAATTAAAAAGTATTCTTAAATATATACTTAATTTTAATTATTCAGTAGTTTTACAACATATGAAGTATAATATTTCATTATAAAATACATGATTACTCTAATTTCTTATTTATATTAACTAATGACATCTATCGATTTATTTATTAATTTATAATATATATACACAAATAATAAAATTTTACAATATAGATTAACAATAATAGTGACAGCTCTTTTCTTAAAATAAGAAAAAATAAATAATTTATTTGATTTTTAAAAATATATAAGCCATAATACAATATATATTACGGTATGACTTTCAATTCAATATAATCCCATGTAACACCTGCTTTCCAACTTCCTTCTCGCCAATTGCGTATTCCTACCATAACTTTTGATGGTTTATAAATCATTATTTGACCAAGACTTTTTATAAACCAACGATTGCCATGTTCTAATGTGTAACTACGAAACTCTTCTTCAGTAATTCTCTTAATTAACATTTTCCCATTTGATGGAGCAACAAGAAATTCTGTTACTCCATACATTGAAATATTTCCTGCATGACCTTTCATACGCCAAATAACTTCATATTTTCCAGGCATTAGATTATGTTCAAAATTGCCAGTTATTTCAAGCCAACATACACTTTGTAATTGAATAACATGACCAGTTAAACTCTCTTGAGTAGTACGATCGACAAGATATTGACCATTAAGATGAACAACATGCATATTAGCAGCTGCTTGTTGTTTTCGATCAATTAAATAAAAATAGACTAATTTCATTAATGGAACATTCATTCTTTTTGTTGGTTTATTATAATGAAAATATCCGACATACGTTAAAAAATCATCTTCTGATACGTACATTTTTGTATGCCGTTGTTCGATTACTTCATCATTGTAATATGTAGCAGAGTTTACGGCAAAACGATCAAGGTCACAATCTTCTCTGGTATGCATGAAACCTGATGGACGAGATTGTGGAACTATTTCAATCTCTTCAGATTTTTGAAATAGATCAAAAGTATAAAAATTAGCAATAGGATGAGGAAATTGATGATGTATACGATGAATCCAAAAATTATCATTATTAATAAGTTTATAAAACATTTGACAACTTCGACTCAATGAGGTCAAATCACGTACATTGAGATAATCAGTAATCATTTGAAGAATTTCCAATGGAAGATCAAGTATCCAACAGATTCCTGATATATCATCTGCCGTGGTATTAATAGTAAATGGTGAAATTCGAGATATAATTGATTGCAAACCTTCGCGAATACGTTTAGATGTCATTTGATTTTAATCTACAAATATCTTCTTTTTTTTTCGTCAAACAGTATTAAATAAGTGTAAGCTTTCTTTTTTTTCTTCAAGATATTCTATTTTATTGAACGACAATTATAAATTTGAAGGGAACAAAAAAAGAAAGAAAAAGATTTAGGACAAAAGACAAAGGGAAGTCACACACATATTGTTGTTCTTGAAAGTTTGTCAAAATTGAAATACATTTAATTTTTCCTATTCAATATTTTTCGTCTATTTGTTCTACACAAACCTGAGAAACAGGAATATCAAAGATACAAATGCACACAGAAAAGAGAAAGAGAGAGAGAACATGATTTTTCTTGTATCACAACTAAGTAACACTGAATCATTTTATTGCAAGTATAATGATGAGATAAATTTTATCGTTGATAATATAAATATAAAAATGTATCTTCATTGAGATTTAATTTTTCGAGTGTTGCACGTTTGTAAGTCGGTAATATATTTTTGATCATTAGACGACATCTCTCCTTAAGTAAAAATGGGTTACGTGCACGCCATGATAGATACATATCAATTGGTTGCATTTTTTGAACATGTTCGCATTCAAGTAATCTTAATATAACATTATTATCTGTTAAAATAAGATGACCCATTGTCACAAGATTTTCATAAAAACGAACAATATATTCATAAATTTGATTGATTCCTTCGCCTAAGAAATATATATTTTATAAATGATTTGATTTCAAAAAAAGATTTTATTTATTCTTACCTGTACTTTCAACACTATTGTGAATAGCACGAAAATAAATATCTAATAAATCCATATAATTAGTAAAATCAACTGTATCATGATATTTAAGAATAGTAAAAAGAAGTGATGTACGTAAATAAAGAATCTGAATTCGATCATCATTAATCGTTAAGAATTGAGCTTGTAAAACATGTAAAAATCGTTTAAGTAAATCTCCAATATCATACATTTTTAATTTTGGTGCTGGAATAGCGTCAAGAATAGTTTCTAACACATCAAATGCTTTGTCTGATTGAATTTTATTTTTTAACATAAGATTATTTAATACAGTTAACATAAAATCACTATTAAGTTCTTCCCAAACATTTGGTACAAAAATACGTAATGCATCGATTTGATCATTAATAAGACATTGCCGAAGTATATCACCTTTCTTCTGTAATAATAATGATTCATCATAACCTGATGTTGCTTTAGTTGTTTTAAGTTTATTAATAAAAACATTTAATATACGATGGCGATTAAGTCGAATAGCATCTTGTAAAGGAGATTTTTCAAAATCATTATTTTCATTAAATATATCACTTCCATATTCAACTAATTCAATAGCAATATCTTCAAAGCCATATTTGACTGCAAGCGTAAGTGGACTATCACCATAAGATACAGTAGCACGTGATAAACGTTGATTACCACGTGCAGTCGATAAATTCATTTCTCGTTTAATATGAATATCAGCACCATGAGCCAATAAATAACGTACTATTTCAAGATGACCTTTATGACTAAACAAAAAAATTTAATTTACTATAAAATCTAACATCTGTTATGGTTTGAGAAACTTACCAAGCAATACATAATGGATAATCATTATTGAATGGTTCATTAACATTAATATGTTTCTCTTCGATACATCTTCTAACAAGTTCTAAATGATTATATTTGCATGCATTATAGAATAATTCCATAAGATTTTCAGCTGAATTAACGGCATCATCAATACTTAATCCAAAAAAGAATGCTTGTTCTAAAGAAGGTTCTTGAGATTTTGTCTTTGTTGTTTCATCAACAGCTGCTTCGTCTACAGCTGGAGTAGCAGTCGGTGGCGTCGATGACTGATTCATACCGTCACCTTTAATATTATTTTTTTCTCTTAAATTTTGTACTTCACCACCGTTGTTAGTAGTTGTCATCGTCGTTTTATTTATTGTTGATCGATCGATCGATCGAAAGAGAAAAAAGAGAGAGAGAGAGAAAGCGCGAGAAAAAAAAGAAAAAGATTATCTTTGTCGATGATCAGGTGTACAATATGGACGGTAGTCGAAATGAAGTAATAGGTGAAGAAGGCGGAGAAAAATGAATAAAACGTGTTGGTAGCCAAATAGAACAACAACACCTATCAATCATCTATAAATATATAAAAAAAAGCAACAAAGAGGAAGAAACAAGAGAAAGACCAATGAATAATGCCATAATGTGCGATTAGAGGGCATATTGAAGGGGAAAAAGTGCGAGGTTGGTAATTGAATGTCTGTAATAATGGTGAAAAAAAAAGCCGTCATTCTCTTTTCTATCATGCTCTTTGACCAGACGCCGAGCACATGTATACTTGAAACAGCTGTACTCAAGAATAGAGAAAAAAAAAAAGAAAAATTCTCAGTAAGACAAAGAGAGCATAGTGAGAGATATATATTTATATAGCTAGACATGCGATGAATGTTTGCACAAATAGAGAAGCTCGTTTATTTATCCAGTCAAGTGAAATGAATGGATACGACGAAGTAAAAATAATAGTATATATTATATGTGAAACTCTTTTAAATAAAGAATAACTACTTCTTTACTGTCATGGTAATTACCATTTGATTTCTCTCAAACTACTTTTGTGTCTTGCAAAGGTTCATAGATGTGAATTTTATAGTCATTATACCGTATTGTTACTACTGAAAACAAGAATAATGTTACGTTACAATAAACTACTATAGTATTGTAATTATCAAATGAACATCTATGTATTCACTATTTAATAATATTGATATTTTTCGAATTGGTGCTATTCGAGGGGAGGTGAATGAGTTAACAAATTATTCATCATATCTATATGAACGATATTTTGCATTTTACTCATCCTATTAAATTTCTTTCATCTTCTTCTCCATCGACTAATTATACTATATGTCAAACAACATTAAAAATTGCATGAAATCAGTTAATGTATGTGAAAAAGTCTAGCGTTTCTACCGTCTAGTGTATAACAAGCATAGGGAGTGAGAGGGAGAGAAGAAAAATTATACATGGTTGTGTCACAAATCACTCCCTACTATTCGATGACTGGTCAACTACATTGACAAATGATCATCTTTACTACATATATATAATTAAATAATAAATCATTTTCATTCAATCGATACATGATGGGTCATTTGTATCCTTTCTTTCTTTCTTTTTTTCTCTAATAAGAAAAAACAAAATCAAATAAAATATGAAAAGTATATTCTAGAAATCAAAAACATATGTGTAACAAGCTAGACTAGAAAGATAAAAGAAAGAAAGACATTGTTAGTTTTGTGTTTTTTTTTTCGTAGAAAGAAAGGAAAAAACGAAGAATAATATATTTGAAAAGTCATTCAAACATGCATATTAAAATATTCAAGGTTCAACTACAGTTAAAAGGAAGAAAAAGACTTTTAAGAATCGATGTTTACTGATCGACTTCATCAACACCTGATTCAACAAAATCACCGATGTATACACTTTCATGTTTAGCTAAAATTCGAAGTAATGGTCGAAGTTTAAGCCACCATTGTTCAAGTGGCATACGATGTCTAAATGAAAAAATAAAAATTAATCTTATATAAACATTTGTCAATTATTTACTCAAGATCAGTTTTAGGTTTAAGAATTTCAACAGGTGTAAATTCACTTTGTCGCTTTAATAAACCTAAGACAACTGCACTTTCTGGTGTATTACAAACAACTTTGCCATCCGGAGTTGCGACCTTTTCAATTAATGATACTGCATATGTAACTGCTTTACATCCCATTTTTGTAGCAAATGCACGATCAAATGGTGTTGGTAAACCCCCCTAATTAAATAATAATATTATCAATTTTTTCTTAAGTAAAATCGTTTATTTACTTGTTGCATATGGCCAAGAACATTACTTCGTGCACTAAATACACCTTTACCTTCTTCTTGTAATAATTTTGTAATAAAATCAGTTGAATAATGTTCATTAGCCATTTCATTTCGAAGTAATAAACCACGTTTTAAATGTCCCTCCATTTTTTTACGTAAATGATCAACATCATCAATTAAATCTTTGATTGTAAATGGTTCTTCATAGATGTAGGCTTGATCAGCACCACTAGCAAGTGCAGCTAATGTAGCTAAATATCCACAATAACCACCCATAGTTTCAATAACAAAAATACGTCGTTTTGAACCTTGTGCAGATTGTTTAATTTTATCACAAATCTTAATTTACCAAAAAAATAACAAAAAATTTCAATCAATTAAAATACATACTCGAACGATTTCATTGAGTGCAGTATCAGCACCAATACTAAATTCAGTACCGGGTACATTATTTGAAATAGTTGCTGGTATACATATAAGAGGTATCTGTAATTCAGGATGTTTATTTCTTGCTTCATACATTTGAATAACTGATGTATATGCCTAAACAATAAATTATACATATAACATTAATTTGTACAAAAAATTTACTTCATATCCACCAATAATTAATAACGCATGAAAATTATGTTCACGAATTTTTGCTGCTATTTTTCCTAAACCAATTTTCGCTGCACTTGTTCTAAATCAGATAAGAAAAAAAAGAAACGAAATTTGATATTTAAATTATTGATTTGATTTACTTTTGACAACCAAGTAATGAACCTCCTACACTACTCCAACCATTTACTGCCATCCAATCCAAACTTTTAACCTATAATTATTTTATTGAAATTTCATTTCGACAAAAAAAAACAAATGATATGTTATACTTGATTATTAATTAAACCTTCAAATCCATCAAAAATAGCATACATCTTATGTCCTTCACATAAACCATAACGTATGATAGAACGAACAGCTGCATTAACACCACAGGCAGGTGCACCAATATTTAACACAGCCAAATTAAATGATTGCTAAAGAAAAATAAATAAATGATTCAATTTCCTCAAAACAAATACGACACTTGTTTATTTATATTTGTCAAAATTATATATACAAGTTCATGCATGAGTCAATAAATAGGGAAAAATAATTAAGCCATGCTAGTCATATTTAAAAAATTTACCTTCGTATCCTATAAGTAAAATCGATATTACTAATACATTGATTATTCTTTTATTCGTAATCAAAAAAAAAATGATAGGAATTAAAGTGTCTGTCATTTGATCCTCTATACACTATGTGACACGTTTTTTTTCTGATCATATAACATATGTTAAAAGATTTAATCCTACAGGGATTATATTAATACCTTTTTTTTTGAAAAATTATTAGTTTGTATATAGAAAACGACATACCTGTTTATTAGAAAATAATTTTGGTCGTAATTTACTGAGACGAATATATGTTTCGAGATTTCCTTTAAAACTTCTACCACGTAATTCTTGAGCTTCTTTAAAACGTTTTGCTTCCATAGCTTGAGCAACAGCCAGAGTTTTTTCTACACAATGCATCAATGGTACACGAACTGTCTGATTACCACTTAGAGCAATAACAACCGGTTGTGATGTTGCTGTTGCTTCCATCAATGCAAGAACAGCTTCTGTACCCATTCGAGTACCCTAATTAAAATAAAAATTTATATTCAAAAAAAATAGTTTCATAGTTTTTTTTCACTTACAAGAACTCGATCAAATGCCGATGGACAACCACCACGTTGTACATGACCAAGAATAGTTACACGTGTATCATATTTAAGTCGATCGGTAATAAGCTTAAATATATTTATAAGGCAAAAATAAAATTTTTATTTAATAAGAAAATAACTTTTACCTGACGAACACCATCACTAGTTATTGGTTTACCTTCAGTATCAATTGCACCTTCAGCAAGAACAATGATATTTAAACGTTGACCCATTTCTCGTGTCTAATAAAACATTCCTATTCAGATTTAATTCAAATTTTTATATTTATGACTTACAGTTTTAAGTTTATTACATAATTGATCTTCCCATCCTGGATCAGGTGGTGCTTCAGGCATAAATACCCAATCAGCATCCGAACCAAGAGCTGTAACTAATGCTAAATAACCACAATGACGACCCATTACTTCCATAACAAAACAACGTTGATGACTATAGATTATTTGATGATTTAAAATCAATCATATAGTAAATCATTTAGATTTACCTTGAAGCGGTTGTTGTAATACAATCAACAGCTTCCATAACACGATGTAAAGCTGAATCAGCTCCAATAGTCATATCCGTACCACAGAAATCATTATCAATTGATCCAACAAGACCAACAATATTTAAATGTTTATATTTATCAGCATCTTCTTGTGTAATTTCCTCTTAAAAATTATTGATATTTTCGTTTTTTTTCTCTTCGATAAAAAGCAACTAATTTTATATTTACTTGTTTCAACAAGTTCCTTCAAAAGACTATCCCATTCTTTACGAAATAAATTTGCTCCAGTTAACGATCCATCACCACCAATACATACAATATTATTAATACCATGTTCGATGAGATTTTTTGCAGCACGTAAACGACCGGGTCTTTCACGAAATTCTTTACAACGTGCACTACCAATAATTGTTCCACCCTTGAGAATTTATAGAGAAAATGAAATTATATCAGAAAGCAAATATACTATTTACATCATCAAGAATTCCAGATACAGATGCCCATGTTGCTTGACGAATACTATTACCACCATCAACTAGACCTTGATAACCCTAATAAGTAAAAATATGAATATGAGTTTATCAAATGGATTGTAATCAATAGACCTCATGTATAAAATAAACTTTACAGCCAAGATAAATACCCATACGAACAACTGCTCGAACAGCGGGATTCATTCCTAAAATATAACAATATTGAATTGGATATATATATAAATATTGAAATAATACCTTGTGCATCTCCACCGCTAGTAAATATACCCATGGCACGACCTGGATATTGGTCTTTAGCCAAAACATGAAGATTATGTTCAAAACCCTCCGTAGATGCAATTGAACCACGGTATTTACTGAATGGAGAATAGGCTGCTGCTGAAAGATCCATAGCTGCATTAAACTGTGATGGTCGAAGTTCACTAACTTCATCTTTCTATACAAAAGAAGATAGAATTTGATTCATGTAAAGAAACTATGTAATTCTCTTTTTATTTCTAATTTTTAAAGTGAACTGATTTACATTTTGTATGATTTCTTTTCGTTCTACTTTATCAATATTTGATATTTCCTGAGACATAATAATATTTTCTTTTATATTACTTGTATCATTGCCCATAGTCACTGTTTATTTACGGATAAAGAAAAATAATTAACCATGATAAATTTACGATAGAGAGCAAATAAATACGAAAGAAAAATATCAATGAAATATGAGTTACTATAGAAATTTAAAAAAAGACGAGAAAAAATATATTATATTATCAATGATAAAACATCATTATTTCATACCAGCACTATCCTCAACAGATTGATAAAAAACTCTTGACATAAATCGAATGTATTTTTCTTCAAGAAACCTTTTTATGATTATGTTCCTATTTACTTGTTATGTAGTTCATTTATTAAAGTAAAAATAATATTATTACTAGATTAATCGTAAGCTATTTTAAAAGAGTAACAAATATTTTTCTTAATATAAGACAACAAAAATTAAAAGTATCTATATATAGACTAGATACGGAATCTAGTATATACAAAAAAATCATAATACTTGCGTACTTCTTCGTCAAGACCTTCAATTTCTCCAGGTGTTTCATTTTCTTCTGGTTGAGTTGTTTGACCCGGTGGTGGCCGATCAGCAACTTCTTTTCCTGTCTGTGCCATATATCAATAAGTTTCAAAACTTACAATCTTAAAAAGAGAAAAAAAGTAAATCAATCTTACGCCCATTCTAATAAAAAAATTGTTTTCTTTTCAATAATAATAATAATGATAAAAAAAAGAAAGAAACACGCAAATTAAAATGAATCATCACTGTTTATTATTTGACACTAATCTAATTGTTCGCTTTAAGCAATATGTCTTTTCACTGCATAGGTGAATTTTTCATTGGTACTAGAATCTTTGATTCCATTTTACGAATTAATGGTACTGTATACTCGACACTAAAAGAACGAAAGAAAAATTTTTTTTTTTTATTCGTTATCGATAAAATATTTTTTTATTACTTTTCAGACCAACCAGGTTTAGCCCATGCATTAGTACGCATTTTTTTTCGTTGTTGAAAATTTTTATATGACCACATATGATGAACATTATAAAGTTCACCAATTTGTGAAAAAACACCAAGAACTTTTGCATCTGGTCGATGTTGGACACCTTTATGCCATAAATTACCCCATTCAATTAATGTACCTGGTTTAAGCCAATATGAACGCATTTCATATATATTTGGATTTGATTGATCATCAGATTTTGATCTTGGTTGAGGAATTCCTTTGAAAAACAAAAATTTATTAAATTAAAATATAAATAAAACAATTTTTTCTAACCAAAATATGAGAATGAAAGACAGATTTGATTTGAGCGTTGAACAATATAGTCATTTAATTTATTATCAAGTGAATTTGTTTTCGATTTACCAATAAATTCATCCAAATGAGGAAAATTTTTGTACATCCATATATGTATATATTGATTTTGTACGTTACCAATATGAACTTTCCATGAGCCAGTATGAACGAGACCATTCGAAGAATGTTTTTCAATTAATTGTGATGAATATTCAGAATAATTCGCTTCATATTCATTCTAGAAAAAACAGACCCGATAAGTACTTATACCGTTTATTGTACTTTGTCCTTCGTACGCGCCCTTATCGTATATATATATATAAAAACAAATTTGGGTACAGGAAAAGGTAATTTCATAAGTGGAAGGTTCTAATTAAGTGTAACAAAATTCTGTTGGACGAAGCATAAAGAAAAATGTAATAATGGCTTTGCTTTTCAAAAGTAAATATACTCTATCCTCAATACTCTTCAGAAATATTTATCGAGTATGTTGTTATTTTTCTCGTGATTGATGGTTAGAAATAAAAAAAAATATTCGAGGCGTTTCTCTTTCCTATGAGTACAAATGTCACGACGTCATTGTCTACCTATATATATATATTCGTTATTTAATATTTCAATTACAACCAAGTCATACCTCTATTTATATGCTTCTTAATTTATTAAAAATTTATTCACAGACAATATTATAAGAGATTTTTTACTTAAGTAAATTCGCGACAAAGACATTTCGAACTCCCGGACATATGTGATCGGGTGTTCGGGAATGATTTTTGTCCTGGACAAGTTTTATTATGAGCTCCCTGTCTTCTTTTCCTTATGTCACGAGATCGTAATAAAAAGTTGGTGCGAAATATCTCATTCTCATAAATTTGATTTACCATTGAGCTTGGTTTAACTATATGATGTTGTAATTCAAAAACATTTTCTGTATCCGTAAGTGTATTTGAATGTGCATCCTTTGCTGTTTCAATTGGTTTTGAAGCGAAAGGATTAAATAATGTTCGAACACTTGTTTTCCCAAGATTCGATGAAATAGAACCTAAGAGTTTAATTGTATTATATTTTGATAAATACATAATTAATCTAGAAAACAAAAAAAAAGTAATAACAAAACACAAATTTAAATTTTTCTATGCATTTATTGATCTATCAAAATCCTTTTTCTTTTAAAAAATCAGCTATCCATTCTTCATATTCACCATCAACAAGTATATGTCGTTTAATTTCATCGACTTGTGATAAAATAGGTAATTCTTTTGATTTATCAGCTGTTAATTCTACACGTTTTGTTAAATAAGTCTTCAAATCATTATCTAATGCCCATATATCACCTGATATTAATTCAAGTAAACTAAAACGTCTTGTTCGTTGTGCATAAATATCATATTCAACACGACGACGAAATATATTTAAATAATAACGATGTTGTTCATGTAACCAATATTCAAGCATTACAGGTAATATACGTACATAGAGTGCATATGAATGAAAACGATCACGATCAACAAAATATGGCCACTGACGAGCAAGAATTGGATCTGGTGGAACCCAACCAGATGGAGTTGCATGTTTAGGTGGTTGAGGTATTTCAGATTTGAATAGAATATTATCCACCCATTGCCAACCATCTTTTGTTGATTCATATCCAGATATAAATTCAGGTTTATTTCCACGTTCTGTTAATTCATCTGGTAATTCTGTAAGAGATTTACGAGGTTGATTTTCGTATTCTTCTGTACCCATTGGATGAGAAGGAAATTGACCATTTGATGACCATAAACGAAGAGAAACGTTGTTGATTAATGATGATGGACATCGACGAAGAATATTCTGAAGAATTAGAGACATTCTGAAAATAAATATATATTTGCTTGATTTTAGGAAATATTATTAATGTTTTTTTTGATCTATTTCAATTATTAAACTAATATTGATCATAAAATCGAAAGCATTTTTTAAATCGATCAATATTTATCTTGATTAATTGTTTTCTTTCTTTTTAAACAATTACAAAAAACATTTTTTTGTTTACCGATACAGATCTAATTATTGAAGGTCTAATATTTTAACCAATCAAATCCAACAGCTTAGCACGTTCTTTTATAGATGTCCGCAGAATTGATTATTTTTTTCTTCTCATTCTCCGTCGTTTCGTGATCAATATTTATTATATACATTCTTTTTTCTTCACTTAAAGGACACATTTTTTTACAAGTCGTAAGAGAAAAAAACAAGGTTAAAATGGATTTTTCACCTGAAAAAAAATGGCCAAATGAAAGTAAATATAAAAGAAAAATTAGATTTAAATGGTAATATACATTTTCTTTTACTAGCACCATCATCATCGGCAATTCTCATTGATGGGCCAAATTATCTCAAACAAAATCCAGGACGAATTCGTCATCATTTCTTATTTTCACTTTTTTCGGTTATTTGCTTATGTCCAGCAACAGGTAACAGAATATAGTTGTTGCTTTTTTTTTGTAAGCAGAATTTTTATTTTTGATTTTAAAGGTCTTATTGCATTGGCATATTCATTAAAAAGTTCAGCTAAAGCTGATGTTAACTTTCATGATAAAGCTCGTCTTTATTCACGTCGTGCTTTATTCTGGAATATTGTATCATGTGTTCTTGCTGTTCTTTCAATTTTTGCGGTATTATGTTCTTAATTTTTATATCGATTATTAGAAAATCTTCTTTTAGGTTCTCGTCTACTTTTATCAATTGAATGCAATGTTTCAGCTTTATGCTAATCAATTAAACCCACAAATGCAGACCAGTGATGTTGATAATACAATTCGATCAATTGCTAATTATTAACAAATTATTTATGTTTATTCTACGGAAAAACACTAAAAAATAATCTCGATAATCAACTAACAATATTTAACATGAACTCCTTTTTACCGTTATTATATTTCTTATATTTATCCTTATATATATATCACAAAAATAAAGAGATCTCATTTAATCAAGCAAAAATATCTTAAATCTTATAATATCACGCTTCTGATAGAAATAACAATGATGAATTATAGAATATTCAGATATATCTATAAATATAATAATCACACGCTTAGTTTTCTTTTTGCAATATGTAAATATATATTATAAGATTTCTCGTCCATAAGATATTTGTATGACATGTTTAGTGTACAGTTTGTTAACTATGAATAATTTACTTCTTTCAATAGTTGATCATCAGGGAATACCATCCACTGATCAACAAATCAAAGATGAAGCATTAACATTTGTACTTGCTGGTAATCTTATGTTATCATATCTTAGTAGCATGCAAGAAGACATTGATGGAATATTACCGAATGGTACGGAACCTACAAATAAATATTTTACTACATTAGTTCCCTTTTCTGAAAGAAAGGGTTATAGGCTCGATGAAAATGCTTAAAGTTTGTCTGTTTGTTTGTTTTTCCAAGGTAATCAGATTGCAGCATTTTATAAATCAGTGAAAACTTATCAATAGCCATCAGAAAATGATTGACTAAAGGTAATCGGGATCGGGGAATCCGAATCTGAGGTTAGTTTTTTGAGATTTTTTTTAGACAAAGGACCACTTTTCTACAAAAAACATTTTCTTTTATAAAGTCTGACCGAAGGGTTTTCGAGATCGAGGAACTCGAATTTGATGTTTGTTTTTGCAAACTGTATAAGTAAAAAATTCAATAGTATTGTAGAACACGTGTTCTACAAGAAAGAGCTGAGCGAGTCTCTGAACGAGAGTTACTTGTTAATAATAATCACAGAAAATTTTCTATCAGAAAAGGGTCAGCGAATCCATCGGATGAGCGCTGCCTTGTTGTATGTGAAACAATAATCAATGAAACACTTTGTCTTTATTCACTATAGTACCAATTGTTACTCGTTACTGTACATATGAACATGTTGTAATTTTAAGTTAATACTCGAATGAAACATAATATTAGAGATTAGAATAATAACATGATCGAAATATGATCTTTTAGTACAAATCAGTCGATCTTGAATTTATTATGTTAGATCACGTATGCAATTATAACATTGATACTTATAGTTTTTTTCTCAAGAAGTAAAATCTTTAGTCTTGTTCTAATAGTTTTGAAAGAAGGATACAACTATATTTAAAATGATACATAATGTTTGTAAATGAATTAGTTCCCTCCAATATACTCTGACCCATTAACACTCGAAAAAACTCAAGTACTTTTATATAACGAAAGTACACAAAAAGCACGCTCCGTAACAATCTCCAAATAAATACATCACATTTTTTTTTTCGTTTCTTGCAATAAACAAATTACCATGCTGCATCAAAAAAAAGTACATAACACTGAAAATATTCGCGACAGCGAACACATCACTCTGAAGAAAATATAAAAAGCAATTGAGTGTACTCTGTCAACGTATTGCTGGCATTCTAATAGCAATGCTCATTGTTCTGTATATCTTTATAATTATTATCCTAATCGCATTTGGTATCGTCTATATAAAAGTGATTCGTCCTCAAAAACGTATATATGATATATTTCGTGCACAAGGAATTAATGGTGAACCATTTGTGCCCATCATTGGTCAGCTTTCTGAAATGCGTCGACATCGACAAGCTGATTTAATTATGACTTATCAAGAAAATCTAGCAAAAAAACATGGAAATATATTTTTAGTTTGCTTCGGCCCTATAACACGTATTGTTATTACCGAACCTGATATGTTGGCTGATGTATTTAGTCGAGCAAATGCACAAAATTATACAAAACCACCCATGATGGCTAATGTGTTTCGACCAATTATTGGAGTACAGAATTTATTAGTTGGCCATGGCTATGAACATGAGCGAGCACGTCGAATGATTAATCCTGCTTTTCATCATATTAATCTTAAATCTATGATTTCCATTATTACTGATCAAACTGCTAAAACAATTCAAGAACTTCTTTCTACAGTAAGTTCAAACGACGAAAAAGGAGCACGAGTTAATGTACAAATTCAATTTAATGCATTAACATTATCTATTATTGCATCGAGTGCATTTGGATCAGGTTTTGAAACAATTACAAATGCCAAAGAAATAATTTGTCGTACATTTACTGAATTACTTGATGCAATAGTTTATCGTACGTTATTTATGGTCAATCAAATACCTATAATATCGAAATTACCTTTTTGGAAGAAGACTATTGTTGATAATGGTGCTCGATTGATATCGGAATTAATTGATAAGATAATCACTGAACGTCGACAAGGACATTCAACTAGTATGTGTAATGGTGCTGATCTTCTCGATTTACTTCTTTCAGCTGTTGATGATCAAGGAATACCATTTACTGATGAACAAATTAAAGATGAAGCATTAACATTTGTATTTGCTGGTAGTGAAACTACTGGTAATCTTATGTCATGGATATTTTATATTCTTACAACTCATCATCATGTCTTAGTCGCATGTCAAGAAGAAGTTGATAGAATATTACCGAATGGTATAGAACCAACAAATGAACATCTTTCTAAATTAGTTGTATGTGAAGCAATAATCAATGAAACACTTCGTCTTTATCCACCAGCACCACTTTTTACTCGTTACTGTACACATGAACATGTTATTGGTACCGAACGTCAACTACGTATACCTGTAGGAGCAACAATTACGATAAATAGCTATATTCTTCATCGTCGAAGTGATCTATGGGATAGACCAGATGAATTTGATTATACTCGATGGATGCGTGATCCAAAAACAGATTTAAAACCAAAGCTACCTCATCCATTTGCTTATTTGCCATTTGCTGCTGGCTCACGTAATTGTATTGGACAAAATTTTGCTTTATTAGAAGCGAAAATAATGTTAGCAATGTTTATTCAACGATGTAACTTTGAATTAGTACCAGGACAGAAAATAGTACCTGATCTTAAAATTACAATGCGACCGAAATATGGTCTTTGGTTAAATATTAGTAAACGACAAATAAAAAAGACCTATACTAGATTATGTGAATAAATAGATAAATCTTTGACAAAAATATATTTAGATGAATTTAGTAGAATGAATGGTAAGACATTCACTTGCAAAACAATTATCAACATAAACATCGGCAACATATGTTTTATTGTAACATTTTTCCTGAATACAAATACTAATTTTAAAATATTTTTGCTTTTATAATTGTTTCGTGATGGAAAATATATAGTAGAATATCGTTTGTAATAGTTTAGCATATTGCAAAATATTTTGTTTCTATTTTCAATAGCTTTTATCATGATTAAATTTTGTGTTAAGAATCTGATTTCTACAAGATCTTTTACCATGCATATTATGCTATGCATAAATAATACAAAAAAAATAATAATTTCTTCTTCATACGTATTCGTTTTTTTGAAATATAATTTTTCACGTTATTGTATGTCATAGATGGCGCGCGTTGTCGTTCTTTTCGTCCCAATTAGTCTACCTGATTATCTGTTCTTTTAATTAAGGTCATTTCTTTTGTTTTATCTAAATATTTCAAATCCTCTTCCACGTCTAGCGGACAAATCTTTCTTTTCTTTCCTTCCATCTTCTATCGTCATCGTTGTCTGTTCTTTTCTCTTTCGTTCTGTTCTTTCATTCTCTTGCTCACTTTTTCTTACCTTTTTTCTATTTAACATATTGAATGAACATCATATTTGATGATATTATCAAAAAGCATATGTTACTTTTCAAGACTTTTCACAACTCTAAGCTCTATGTATTGTTATACAGACCTTTGTGCGTTATCGCAATTCTCAGGTACCCCATGTAAGCGCACGCGCGCGCGCGATCTCCTTTTCGTTCTCTTCCTTTACCGACATTCGTATCTTAAAGAACGCGGAGATGACAATGGCCAGTTTTCTCTCTCTCCCTGCCCACTTCTTTTTATCGAGTTGGTCGTCCGAATATTCTCCTACTTCTGAAACCGCTCGGCGACCTCTCTTTCATTTCATATTCTCATTTTGCCTCCACTAGTTTGAAGACAAACAACAATATATAAATAACTATCACCATCCACCATTCACCCAATAGTCGAGCCTCACAAACTTCTTACACATTCATTCATTGGTGGAGGAGCTTCGAGCTTGTACGACCGTTGCACTATATATACCCACTGCAAAACGCTCATTCTCATTGCATTATCCTCGTTGACGAGCAGCACAACACACACACACACACTATCGACGACTCGACCTACATACACACACACACACAACAGCAAGTAAGTAAGTAGACAATCGAGTATGCGCATAGATACGATCGTATAAGTGTGAAACTATATCAGAAGAAAAAACTAGTTCGTCAAAATAAAGTAGGTCTTAAGTAAAGGAATAGTCAGAGTATGAAATATCAAAATTTTATCGAAAAAAAATTGTCTTTTTTTCATATCGATTCTATGAAAATCAATTGAATAACTTGTTTTTCTCTTCCTGCGAAAGAACAAAAAAAGACGTCATTTTTTTTCTCGAAACCTTGTAAAAGCAAGGTAAACAAAGGATTGATAATGAATTTTATTATCTAAGATATCATATTAGATAAACAGGGAAAAAAAAGAATATTTCAGAAATTAAACAGAGTATTTCAAGGTTTGCAGTTTAATTAAACGCTCATTTTATATGAACATATCTATCAATCGATACTTTAATTAATGTTGATATATTGCTATCAATGATGTCATATAAAATTCTCAATTAACTTTTTCTATATATATATATATATGTATATACCTATGACCAGTAAAGATCCTAAATAGATATATAATAAACAACAAAAAAATATACTATTAGAAATAAAATAGAGAGAATAACTCGTCCGTTTTTCTTTCGTTCTTACATCGTTGCCTTAATAAGACAGAAAAAAAGCGCGCGTCGATGAGAGAAAAGAAGAATGTCAAAAAATGGTGTCTTTGTGGTAAGAGGAAAGAAGAAGAAAAAAAAAAGACCGTGTGTGAGAAGCATTGGAAAGAGGGCGTATTTCAGCGAAGGAAACAGAATGGCATACTGTCGTATCATGTCTGTTCTTGTTTTTCTCTCGATTGAACAAAGAATCGTTTGTCACACATATATAGATATAGATGTATATATATATTGTAATGATTGTATAGAAAGAAAGAACAAGAAAAGAATAAATACCTTTTATTATGTTTTATATATTACAGGTCATGAGGTCAAAAATTGTAATTTTTCTTTTGTTTTAGTTTTATATAAAAAAAAAGTATTTAATATCCAATGGCTCGAACAAAACAAACCGCACGTAAATCAACTGGTGGAAAAGCACCACGTAAACAACTTGCTACAAAAGCAGCACGTAAATCGGCTCCATCAACAGGTGGTATTAAAAAACCACATCGTTTTCGTCCAGTATGTTATTTTATTTTTATGATAATAAAATACAAGTTTATTATTATTATTCTTTAGGGTACTGTAGCCTTACGTGAAATTCGTCGTTATCAAAAATCAACCGAATTACTTATTCGTAAATTACCATTTCAACGACTTGTTCGTGAAATAGCACAAGATTTCAAAACTGATTTACGTTTTCAATCGGCAGCTATTGGTGCACTTCAAGAAGCAAGTGAAGCTTATTTAGTTTCACTTTTTGAAGATACAAATTTATGCGCTATTCATGCCAAACGGGTTACGGTAAATATAAATAACAAAATAACAAAATTTTAATCAGTAAATTAATATTATTTCTTTTTCTAGATTATGCCCAAAGATATTCAATTAGCACGACGTATTCGTGGTGAACGTGCTTAATTTTACAACATAAAATTAAAAAAATATATATATATAGATATAGATATATATATCATTTGCAGACAAAAGGACTGTTTATGTATATGAGTGTGTGTTCTCTAGATTTCTTTTTTTCTTCGTCGTTGTTTTTCCTTATATGGGAATCAGATTTGGTTCGAAAAATAAATAAACGTATCTTTATCTTTGATTATTTGTATTAGTAGTACATTTAAATACTTCTCTTCTTTCATTATGAAACGATTGCGCTTCAAATAAGTATATATATATAATTCGAGCGTAAATGAACAAGACTGATTAGAACGATATAGATAGATGAAATATTATTCATCAAGTTAGTAATAATTTGTGGGAAAGAAAGATGTGTGACCCTGTACGCTGGTCATGACTGTTACGGTCTGAAGGGTAATGAGAAAACAGTCTTCACCTGTATATTACGACACTCGTTTCAGTTTATATTTCACCGGAAAATCGAGAGTTACATTTATTAACTGATTGTTAGTAAGATGATATTCAATTTCGTGTCTATCATCTTCATTATATATGATGAGCTTACTATTTTGTCTGTTATGAATGTGTATAGAAAATAAATTGAAATTCTGTCACAATAAAGACAGTATGAATGAATACAACAGACAAGCTATCAGGTAAGTTATAAAAGAAAAAAGATATCTGATTCTATCATACGATTAAGAATATTAAATGCCTATATTTTGTAAAATAATATCACTATCTAGTAACCCGATCTTTTAAGAAAAAATTACTTTCTTTAAATAAACAGATAATCAAAATGATATCATGAAATTTTATTTTTATTATTACAAACACGTGAGCTACAAGAGGTGGTGGAGTCTATAATATATACATAAAAAATAGTAAAATTTGTTTTTTTTTCGATTCAATAATCATGATTATATAGACGAAAAAATTATATTAAAAACAACAACTATACATAAATGTAATTAGTTCTATTTCTTTTTAGAATGTTATTCATTCGCTTTTCGGTAGGATAATTTTAATGTATCGTTTACAATTGCTGGTGTTGTTCGTTCAACACGAATAATTTTCATTGTTTTATTTTCATTAAAAACATTATCCATTCCTTCATTTGTTTCGTCCATAGCAACAATATTTTCATTGATATGATAATTTGAACGTGATTTTTTATAGGATGGTTGTTCCATAAGATCATTTGTTAATTGTCGTTTTAAACCTGTTGTTTTATCTAATTCTTTAGATTTAACTTTTTTATTCATATATTTTTCAACTGAATCCGAATGAGAATAACCAGGTGCAGTTCTATCTTGTTGAAATACTGATTTATATTGATAATTCGAAGGTAAATATGAGTCATGATGATGATGATAATGAGTATCATATTCTTCAGCAGATAAAAGTACTCGAGATTTATGATGATTTGAATGAGTAGTTTCTTGTTGTTCATATAAAGATTTTTCTGATATATATGCAGATTGATGATTATTTGAGGGTGTTAATGCATTTTCTAATGATAAGAATTTATCATCAACTGAAGCTTTATTTGTAATAGGTGACCAAACACCAAAAAGAACGGCAAAGAATACAGCAAAAACCTAATATAAACAATAGATAGATTCATTTATGTATATATAAAAAGAAATTTACCATTAAAACTTTGCTTGATCCAGGTGCTGCTTTGCCAATCATTGAGCGAAGTAAATCTCGTTCTTTTTGTAATGATCTAAATCATAATAAAAACATATAATAAATTATTGAATTAGGAATCAATGGCGGATCTAGGATTTTGAAAGGGAGGAGCGATTTTGGCTAAAAACTATTTTTTGAGCCCAACCGAAGTAATGTGAATCTATTTTTTCGTTCATTTTTGCTGTAAAAAATTTCTGAAGGAAGGGAGCGACCGGCCCCCTAAATCCGCCACTGGCCTCTTCTCATTTCTAAGTTTTTATAGATATATCTTACTTGTGATTTTTTTCAACGGTAGCCATACGTTCTTTAAGTAATCTGTTTTCATCAGCAATTTCTCGCATTTGTTTTTCAAGATCTTCAACATATTCTTTTTTCTTTCGGCGACTTTCTTGTGCTGATATCTGTAGAAAAATTATAATATAGTACAAGACAAAACTTAAATTATCATGAATTACTTTATTTTTGATTTTTCGTCGTATTTTTTTTATCATTTTTTCTTCCGTTTTATTTAATGGTAATTTAGTTGGAACTTGATAACCTTCTTGTTTGATTAATTTGATTTCTTCATTAGTTAATTTTAATGGACCTGTACTTGGTAAATTCTAAAAAAGTCATAAATAAAATATAAATTTAGGAGAAGATGATTATTTTTGTTTTAATCTTACATCGAAATTAGTTAATAATTTTGAATAGTTATTCTCTTGATAATCAACCGGTGAGTTGGAATTTCCATCATCTGGTGATTCATCTGGTGATGTAGATGGAGTTAAAGGAGGTGTTTCTTCCATTTGACAATCCATTGTTGGGAATAATGAAGTATCAATTTGTAAATTATAACAATCTGTTGAAACTGTTGTTATAGGTAGAGAATTATCTGTTGTTGTTGTTGTTGTAATATTATTTGCTGTTCGAATAACAAAAATTGGTGTATTTGATACATGATTCATATTTGGTGTTTTGATAATGAGTGGTCGTGTTGTTGACATTGATTCCATTGGATCAGTACCAAAATCACGTTTATTCGATTCGGATTGTAATGGTGCACATGAAAGATCAATTGATTGTTCTTGAGTCATTGGATCCGATGAAAATAATTGACTCACTAATTTTTCAAAATCTTTAGAATCAAAATCTGCGGGATTAAAAGTTGTAGGATCAAAATCAATTTCTAAATATTTTATAAGAAAATATATTAGACAATACATATAAAGAATATTAAACATTTAAACCTGTATGATCTAAAGTATTTGATATAGGACTTGTTGAAGATGAATCCGAGTTAAAGTTACTGAACATAACTTCATTACTGAAAAGTAAGCTGTCAGATGTGAATGACATTTGTCCGTCACCGAACAGAAGATCATATGGATCACCCATAGTTTCCATCATCGTTTTTATTTTTTGTTAATATATATAAGCCTTAAAATGAAAATTGGTATATAAATACGAGTCATTTTATACGGAGTAAATATAAGGCAGCTGATGCAAGATAAGTGTCTTGTTGCATTCTTTATCTAAATATTATTGGCTATTTTTATATTTATCTACGTTTTGTCTTATTCATGAATCTTGTTTTTGTTTTATTCCGAAAATATGAATTTATTTATCTGTATAATGAGAAACTTACCTTATATATGGATAAAAAAAAACAATTATATTTGAGCACAACCGATCAAATGTAGTAGTCGTCGACAAATGGTGACGTGTCCTCTTCTACAGTATGTAGTTTTGTTTCTCCTATGATGCGTTGGCAATGTTTGCGTATGATATATATAGTCAGTGACTCATCGTCGCTGTTCCGTTCTGTTTTCTTATTTGTCTTTCTCTTCCAACTATATGATGCAAACTTGCTCATATGACTCATAAAGGAAATTTCATCATCAATCGTCAATACAAATTTTTACCGAACAACCACTGATGTCATGCTTTTCAATGTGGGTGTTATAGAAAAACAAAATTTAACTACCACAGAATCACACCCATCTTAATCGACAATGAAAATGCGAATATATACGTAAATTGATAGATTGTTTTCGTAGTTAAAAGAAAATAGTAGGTTAGAATGCATGGAATTAAATTTAATGTAATTTCAAGTGTTTGTTTTTGATTCATTCAGCATATTTTGCGAATTTAAATTTTGTGTCGTCACTTTTCCTTGGAAACGATATAATCGATTGAATTAAGTTTATATTTATAGATACAAGAATATATCGGCTGATTACGTTAAGTACTTCAGAGTATTAGGGGAATCATTCTGAATTTTTTTTTCGTTCCTAATATCTCAAGTGTATAATAATTCATATTTACATCTATTTTCTAGCAAAAAGAATATTAATTCATTTTTTTTTATTTATCCTAAAAATACTTTATTAACTAAAATAAATAAAAGGAAAATTTTACTGTAAAATAGGACGTACACTAACAAATAATGAAGATTTTTCACGCGGTTCATATTGAAAACAATCTGCTTTCATTGTATACATTAATTGACATTGTTCTGTTGTACTAATATTCATTGTACAAAAATCATTTGTACATAAATTACAAGAAAATTCATTCTTGAATGGTAAACTTTGTCGTATAATAGATTCACATAATGTACCAGTTAAAAGACAACATCGACATTCACATATACCAATAAATTTTTGTTCAAGAACTAAATTAACTAATTCATTTGAAGAATTTAATTCATGTGTAACAAAAACATGAGCCCAATATGAAACAAGAAGTAAAATAAGTAATGCAATAAAAAATGATCGCATAGTTGAATAGGTTTTTCTCTTGATTATAATATTACGTACTAATGCCTTGTTATTAAAGCTGATAGATGGATAATAAGCTTGATCATCTATGATAATTGATATGGAAAACGCTATACAAACAAAGACTAGCCATATGGTTGAATATCATACACACAGTTTTCCTTTTTTTTCTATTGTCTCTCTGTCCTTGTATGCCCTTTACAAATAGAAATTGTACTTAATCGTAACTCAACAATAGATTGTCTGCTTAATGTGAAAAAAATACTAATTATATCTATAGATTCGTAATAATTGTTCGAGTATTCTCTGTAAAAATCTTAGAAGAAAATAAAATAAAAGCAAAGTTGTTAGAATAATATAAGAAGTAGTTTTTAATGATTATAGAATTTGTAATAGGACAATAATTATTTAACGAGTTTTTCCTTGATAATGTACATATATACGTATTATTTGCTTCATTTTTGAATTTTAAATCGAATATAACTGATATCTATAGAATTTAAAATAAATTCTTTCATTGGTCTAGAATAAGTCATTAAGCTAAGCTTTATTTGTTTTATGATGTACTAGAGATTTTGATATATGATAAATGAGACTTTTCGATCACTGTCAACTATTATAAACTGCTTGGAAAAGACCTTCAAAATATACAATTAGATAGTACCTAAAATGGAAAACAATATAGGCAGATATAAATGCGTCAGTGAACGATGAGCATACGAGTATTTAGGTCCATAATATTGACGAAAATAAAAATAGTGAAGGCAAAATATGACTCAACATGGATACAGGAATCTATCAATGTTATTTTTTCTGGACTAGCGCCCTCACCCACATTCAGATGCTTGCGTGCTCATCGTTCCGGTTCCCGATATAAATTTATTATTTCTAGAAAATTAAGTCTCATATAATTGCAAAAAAGATGAAACTATATGTAAAATAACTCGTAGATTAGAGATAGATTTTCAAATTTTTATAAAATTGAAAAGATTAGAGTTGGTCGTCATTCTGGAAGACCTATAATAATTATTAAAGAAGAAATTCATTCTATTTTTTGATAAATTTATTTCATGTTGTAAATGAGATTCTCATAAAAATATTCGCTAGATTTTATGAAAATGTATAAAGATGAACAAAATGATTTCAAAAGACAATACACCATCTTGGAACTACTGTTTTATTTTTTATTCTCGTTTGTACTTTCAGAACATACTGTATATATAAAAACTGTTATATGATACTGCTTATTGGACATGGATGGTCATTATTAGTATAAAAAAAGTGTTGTTATTCATGTGACGCGATACTGAAAAGATTTATTATAAATCGAAAAGTATCGTTTTTTTTCTTATTTTTACGTATGATTATTAGTCAAGAGTCAAATTAAAATATATGAATATTCAAACTATTTTTCTATAGAATCTCTAGCAGTATTACAATTTTCTTGTTGAGAAAGAAACTGGAGAACTGCAGTTTTCTAATCTCGATTTTTATTGAAATATTTTCTTAGCTTGAATTTCCTTTTTGTAGATAAATTATCAAATAAAATTTTTTTTAAAGGCATCGAAATTTTTCTTCAAGACAAAATAATACATATTTAGGTCAAAAATATATTTCTTCTGTTATAAAAGAAAAAATAGTATGAATTCAGATCGTTTGTTTACTAAAAATTCGTCAAGACTTTGGCAATATTACCATAGATAGTTGTTCTAGACGAGTAACCGGATACTATTATTTGACAGCAGCCTTATGTTATATGATCTCATAAAAAGTCAATAAACTCCATTTCTTAATATATAATATATATATATATATACATTTGAAAACTAATAATAAAGAACTGGAGGTCAAGATGACTTGAGGTATTTCATCTATATATGAATCCGTAATTAACTACAAAGACACATAATTTTCATTATCATTGTTTATTTACGAGTGAAAAAGAGAGAAAGACGTATGATATGATCTAAATTTCAACAAATTATTTATGTTTATAACTAAAGATTCATAATATGACAAGCAAGTTTCCTCTTTTAATCATTATATTAATAAAAAATGAATGGTTCAATTGATTCACACGCAACCATCACTGTTTTTTCCAATAACAACTTGCAAAAACTCATTTCGTTAATATTTCCTGTATGAAGATTGAATTCTATACAACAATATTATGAAAATAGATTAATTGCTAAATAGTTAACGCTGTCTTTTTGTTCCTATGCTAAAATAAATTCATTTCTATTGTTTATTCACGACTTATTTAACTATGTTATTATATTCATTGTAATATTTATGCAAATATCCCAATCTTTTGTTTTAATGTTCTAGTCCTTATTTGCCCTTGATCTCGATCATTTATCTAATCATTCGATAAAAAAACATCTTTTCCTAGTAACAGGATGTTGAATTATTCTATGAAACATCAATCACATAAGCTAATGCATCAATATTTGTAATGAGAAAGATATTTTTCTGTTTTATTACTTCAAACATGAGCGACCTCTACCAAATATTTTGACATAAACGAATGGATAAGACGAAGAACCATTAAAAATAAAAAACAAAGAAAATTTTCCATGATTCTCTTCTTTCAATATATATCTATCTTATATCATGCAAAAAACCTCAAGTATATTATCAATAGATTGTTGTTCGACAAATACAAAAGAAATATTTGATAATTGTCAATTCAACGGCTATTCATAAACAAACTCTTTTCACTGTAAATTATGGTAGATATAAAGATTTTGCTTCGGTTTGATTAAGGAAAAATTTTGTTTGATAAAAAAAATTATTAAACGAAACAGAAATGAGGATGTTGACATCTTTGCGTCTTTTCATTCTTCTTTATACTTGACAGATCTAAACAAACGAATATGTGTGCGTGTGTTGACATCAAGTCTAATTGCTTTAGTTTACGTCTTGGTTATGATCAAAAGCATACATCAGCATCATCCTTATCACTCTGCTTCTTTTGTCTCTTCGAGGAAGTATATTGCCTGAAGCAAATTTTTTTCGAGAAGAGATAAAAAAAAACATGAAGTTTCCATTATTATCTATCTATCTATGAGTATTTCTTTTTGTAAAGCAACACACGTTTTTCTCAAGTGTCATAATCCCTTTTACTGATCCAATATTTCCGATCAAAGAATGTCTACATATTGATGATGTAAGTATTATTGCCGATCAACATACTTATCTACGATCGAACAAACGAACGAACATCGATGTTCTATATTTGAAAACTATCAATGTCTGTTATTAGATCCGGTAGAAATCTAAACTTGAAAATATTTTTAGCAACATATCAATAAGAGAGAAGAGGCTGCTGTCGTTAGACTTTTTTTTTTGTAGCCTATCTAAAGCAAAACGAGCGCTTGCACGCCTTTGCTATAATTCTCTTTTGCTCAATTATGTGCAGCACGACGTGCAGATGTCTGTATATAGTAGAGAGAAATAGGAAAAGCGACAGAAAAAAAAGGAGAGAAATCTTCTTTCGTCTAGCACTAATTGTTAATATAGAAGACAGACGGTAAACCTAGAACATCGGAAAAGAGAAAAGAGAAACGAAGAAAAAAAGAAGAAGAAGAAGAAGAAAAAGCGGAAGAAATTGTAGTAGGTTTCCCACAAACAAGGGAAAATCTCGACGAATGCGAGTAACAGAATGGTAATAGTGATGGTCGCATCGCATCGCATGCATGTGTTATTTGGCCGATCAACTTTGCTGTATATAAGCTCGCGCGCGCTCGCGAGCAAGAGAGAGGGAGAGAGAGCGAACATATGGGGAAGAAAACTTATGCTTATTCTGTAACTACTACGATAGCATCCCTCCTCATAATCAATTCTGATCTGATATAAACGACTATAGAAAAAAAAAGTCTCCTTCTTCTTCGTATGTGTTTGGCGCGTGTATTATTCGTTGTCCATACGCAATTTGTACCTACGCATTCCTATCTCGTTTTTTTTTCTCGCTCGCTTTTGCATCTATACATTATGTTGTAGTAGAAAATATATCTTGCTCTATCTATTGTGTTTATTTCCAATCTGCTAGAATATTTTTCTCTATCGCTCTCTCTCTCTTTCTCTATCTTTTACTATTGCGTCGAGTTCGATGTATTAATAGTGATGTATACAGATCAACTTGTTTTCTTCAATGAATAAATAAATGGCAACGAATAGTTTTACAAACGATGATATAGAAAGGTATAATAATAAGCCAAGAAAAAAAAATATATATATATATAATTCTGAATATTTGCATCTATTAAAAAGTAAGTCGATTCGAGCATGTATACGATGTAAAATGACATATACTCGATCATTCTTGTCTCATCGATTATCGTATTTCTTTTTCTTTGATGACATGTAGTTTAGTTTAGAAAAGACAAAAAAAAATAGTCGTTTGTTTGTGATATATGTCAACTCTTAACTATAAATCTATCTTATTAAAAAGAGCAAACAAGACAGTAAAATAATATGATTAATGATGATATATTTTAAAACCAAACTATTCTTTGATTTATTTTAGTTCTAATCCAATTACACATGATCTACAAATAATGGCAACAGTAGAAACATCTAATTCCTCCTATGTTCGGTGTGTTCAATCTCCGCCAATTAATCGTTTAACAATTGGAGATTTATTTGATACACAAACGGGTGGTGGTAAACCAAAACTTGATCGTTTACGCGAACATCTTCTTACTGAAGGACGTCTTGAAGAAGATGCTGCTCTAATGATAATTGAACGTGGTGAAGCAATATTAAGAGCTGAAAATAATTTAATTGAATTAGAAGCACCGATAACTGGTAAAATAAATAAATCTTCAGGTTTAAATTATCTTGTTTTTTTTCTTATCTAGTTTGTGGTGATATACATGGACAATTCTATGATTTAATGAAATTAATTGAAGTTGGTGGTATGTATTGGGAAATAAAATATTTTTAGCACGTTCTTACCCTTTTTGTTTTACATGAAAAAATAATATTTAATACGTGCATTAAGGATTTAGTCAATAAAAGAGAAGCGTAGATAAGAATGTTTCAATTGTTCATTGTATTTTACAAAGAAAAACAAAAAAATGTTTTTTTTTTATCTCAAAGGTTCACCATCAACAACACGTTATTTATTTATGGGTGATTATGTCGATCGTGGTTATTTTTCTATTGAATGTGTTCTTTATTTATGGGCACTTAAAATTCATTATGCAACAACATTTTTTCTTCTTCGTGGTAATCATGAATGTCGACATTTAACGGAATATTTTACATTTAAAACTGAATGTAAGAATTTAATTTCATAAATAATTAATTTGTTTATTGTTTTTTTTCATTTTTCAGGTAAAATAAAATATACTGAACGTGTTTATGATGCATGTATGCGTGCATTCGATTGTTTACCATTAGCTGCACTTATTGATAAACAATTCTTTTGTGTTCATGGTAAGTATATCAGATGGTTTATAACGCTTTTTTTTAATTATGAAAAGTTTTGAAATATGAATTATAAAATTTTATGATGCATGATATTCTTTTGAATAGTTTAATATTAAATGAGAAAGAAAAATTAAATCAAGATGAATATTACTTTCAATATTGAATAGTATGAGTTTTATTACTGGAGAATAAATTGAAGAACTATTTACATAGTAACAGGATGTTATTTAAAATAATTTGATTAGTGAGAAGATCCAATTTTGTAACTATACCGCCCTTTGATATAAATAATGGGTTGATTATGCTGTTATTGATCCGTTATCGTGTGAAGAAAATTTTGGGTAAGTGTAAAAATGATTAATAAGATCGTGAAGATAATCAAAAAGTGATGTCACAAGTAAATTAATACGTTACTTTTGTACGCGTTGATGTTCATTTACTTGTTTTTCTCTCATGATGAAAGCATTTTTGAGTATTTTTTTTTGGTTTAGATTATTTATCTATATTTTATACAAAATGACAATTTAGTAGTTTGATAAAACGTCGGAAGTTTAGTCTAGTAGTCTTATATGATTATATTAATTACAATAGAGAGAAAGAATAAGTAACACAAGCATTAGCTTTTTTACTTGAAATAGAAGATTTTTTATTCTTCAAGTCTCTTATCTATTTTTTTTTGTCTTTTGTAGGTGGTCTTTCACCAGAAATTCATACATTAGATGATATTAAAAAATTAGATCGTTTTAAAGAACCACCACCCTATGGACCAATGTGTGATTTATTATGGAGTGATCCAGTTGAAGATTATGGTCATGAAAAATCTCATGAAGAAAAATATTTATTTAATGCAACACGTGGTTGTTCATATTTTTATACATTTAAAGCTGTGAATGATTTTCTTGCACGAAATTCTTTATTAACTGTTATACGTGCACATGAAGCACAAGATGTTGGCTATCGTATGTATCGTAAATGTCCACAAAGTGGTTTTCCATCTTTAATGACAATATTTTCTGCACCAAATTATCTTGATGTTTATCAAAATAAAGCTGCTATACTTAAATATGATACAAATATAGTTAATATAAGACAATTTAATTCATCACCACATCCATATTGGTTACCAAATTTTATGAATGTATTTACATGGTCATTACCATTTGTTGGTGAAAAAGTTACGGAAATGTTAATTAATATTTTAAATATATGTAGTGAAGAAGAACTTATAACAAGTTTATCAACTGATCAACAAAATGATAATGAAAATCAATTTCGTCGTGAAGCTATACGTTCAAAAATACGTGCTGTAGGAAAAATGGCTAAAGTTTATGCATCATTACGTGAAGCAAGTGAAAATGTATTAAATTTAAAAGGTTTAGCACCTGTTTCACCATCATCGTCATCAACAAATCTTAATGAACTTGGCGAAGATGAAGGCGAATCATCGGAACATCGCAAAGCTCCAACAGATTTTTCATTTACAACAGCAAAAACATATGATCAAATAAATGAACGTATGCCACCTTGGTCGGATGCTGAACGTCAACAACGTTTAGCAAATAAAAATCTAATGAAAACAAATGATGATTCTGTTATTGTTCATGATGATAGCGGCAATCAACAAACCGAAACAACAACAACAAATGAAAGAGATTCAACTACACATGCACCTATTCTTATTATACAAAAAGAAGATGATAAAATTATTGATGGAACTGAAAAGTATGTATTAATATAAAGACTATTACAATCATTTCATGTATATATATATATAGATTTCAATAAGCTTTATTAAGAAAATATTGTATGTCAACATGTAAAGCTTTATCAATATTGAGATAATATTAAGTATGAACTTATTAAACTAAGTTTGAATATGATAAATCTTTTTAACTATATTATTAATCCTAAGATAACATTTTGATGATTAGAAAAAACTTTTTTTTTGTCGAAGGAAAAGTTTTAATTTGTATTCTATATATATTTAGTATTCAATCAACTACAGTGAAACCACCTGCAATATCCGAAACAAAATCTGATTCGATTTCAACATCTCAAAAATCCAATCTCGGTGATAATCATGATGATCTGGAACATATTGAAATCAAACTTGATAAAAATGTTGATGAACAATCAACAATCAATTCACAAAAAGCATCTATTAATAATAATAATAAACATTCCCCTAATAATACTAATCCTAATACAACAACAGCAGCAGCAGCAGCAAGTACGGGTGGTTTTTCATTAAAAAATCCTGTTAGTTCATTTCGTTCATGGGTATCAAATAAAAAATCTTCAAAAGAAGAACCAATATTAACAACAGACCAATCATTAAGTACAACCTATAAAAAAATTGATACATCACCAACACCACGTAAATCTTCGATTGAATCAGATTTATCAAAACGTAATCGAACAAATTCAGCAACAGCTACGACAAGTACTAGTTATCAACAAGATAATATCGAAACAAATCCTAATTCAAAAGGTATTAAAAAGAAATCGTCATTTTCATTACGTAGTAATAATCCAATAACATTACTTAAACGAACACCCGAAACAACAAATGATTCAAATGAAACAGAATCTATTGAACAATCAGGAACAGGAAATAATCCATTTGGATATTTAAAAAATCTTGTACGAGGCGAAAAGCAGTAGTTATTTGTTTAATTTCGTTGTTGTTCGTTGTTCTTTTCTTTTTTTTTTGTATATAAATAATAATAATAATAATAATAATAATAATAAAATTGAAGACAAATAAAACAGCTGTTGAAAATTGATCTATATTAATATTCATTTAACCTTTAGACAACATTGATCATTAACCTTTTAATAAAAAATATCAATTGTTTGACATTTCCTCTTTTTTTTAGATGTCCACTGAAGAAAAAAATTTATCTTCAATTAAGAATGATGATGATGGTGATGAAATGGATCGATTAGCACGTCAAATGCTTCTTGATGAAGCTAAACGAAATAAAATTCGTGCTGAAACACAAGGAGCACTTGGATGGCAAAAACCAACATTGGTTACAAATAGAAAATTTTTACGTAATACACTTATTTCGAATGCTGTACATAATATTCATAAGAATGAACAACAACAAAAAACCAGAATGGATAAAAAAGATAATGAATATAAATATGAAAGAAAACGATCACGTACACCACCACCAACATCATCATCGAGAAAAAAACGAGATTATAATGATGATGATAAACGATCATTCAAACGAACGAGAAAAGATTAATCATAGATATTATTTTCTTGTATATTATTTTGAAATAAATATAAAACAAGATTGATTTCTTTATGTTTTATTCATGTTTTTTTTCTCTCGAAAGATAGACAAATGTTGAAATAGTAAACAAAATTAATTATTTAGTTGACGCAGTTTTATGCTCATAATCCGATTTGGATTTTCAGATTATATTTTCTTTAGAAATGTATTTTTAGAAAAGTAGCTCGGTAATCTAGTATTATTAGAAAAATCATTCAAAACTATTTCAAATATATATTCAAGTCGATGTACATCTTATTGCAGAGAAAAGATAGAAAAGTCAAATTTCGAACAACAACGAATCTCGCAACTATACAAAATGTATAGAATCTAAGTGATAGATGTATGTGCGATAAAATTGATTAGGTTTTATCAACTACATAATTGAAAATCATTGCTCCTAGTAGCTTTTTAGGATTAAGTCGAGAAAAAACGAGTTTTTGTAAACTTTAAAATATGTAATTTATTTTTGATAAAAATAAGTCGAGAACTAAATTACATTTTATATTATCAATTTCATTAGATTTTGTAAAGAAATCTAATAAAATATCTCATAATCAAATATTCGTAATCAATTTTTCATGCATGAGAAATATTACATATTTATTAGAGTAGGAAAATAGATAGATATAAACAACTGTAATTTGATATACTCTTTTGGAGATTTATTAAGCTTGAGCTAAGACAAACAGATTGAATAAGTATTTTTGTAACCTATTTTCTTAGTTAATGTAAAAAACCTATTACAATTTCGAGTTATTAGGGTTATAAATTTATTCATTTTAATATTTTTAGGAAGATATTTAGTTAAGATAAATTTTTATTATTATCGTTTTTTTCTGTAGATTATCTTGAGTATTAATCAACTACTATCTTATCTAACTGCAGAATAGTTATAGCCATCTATAGGTCGACTTCATTTCCTTCTTCACGGAAATTATAGTTATTGTGTCTCTCATTGAACGTTTTTACCACTTCGAAAAAAAGAAAGAGCAGGCCTTCTTCTACCGGATGTATCCATCGTTTGTGTATAAAAAGAAAATACTTCGATAAGTATCACTCTTATTAGTCATGTTGAAAATTGTTATATATGAGTAACAAGAAATATAATATCAAAAAAGATTAGTAAAAGCTTTTAGCTATTCATTTATTTTTTTTTTCTCTTCAAATGAATCGATCTTTCTTAGTGATATATATCCATTGTTTATTTAAAAATAAAACACAAATCAGAAAATCTGTTAGAAATTCATTTTAATTTTTGTTTTCATTTGTATATTTTCGACATGATCAATTAATTTAACAATTTTATCATAATATCTTTCTTTTGCTAATTGTTTTGCCGAACGTTTTGCATCAATCTTAATATTTATATATTGATAACCATGATCAACAAGCCATTTTAATCGTTGATAATTTCCACTAATTATTAAACGTTTGATATAAGCATCAAGTTCTGTTTTAGCTTTAACACGACTTGTTAAAATGCAATATTCTCTTAAATTTAATTTTTTATAATCCGGATGTCTTGCAGTTAAATCAGCATTTTTATCAAGTAATAATGATAAAAGATCATTTTGAGATTCATAATGAAGTGCAGTTACTAATGCATTATCATATTGACCTTTTACATTTGGATTCGCCCCACGAAATAAAAGAAATTTAGCTGATTCATTTTGATTGAATGTTATAGCTGTTAATAAAGCTGTTGTTACATAACCATTTTCTTGTTGCTGTTGTATATCAATATCAATCTTTTCTCGTGTTAAAAAATAATCTAATAAACGTATTGAACCTAATTGTGCGGCTAAAAATAAACCTTTTGTAGATAAATCATGTTGTCGTTTATCATTATGTAAACGATGTATAAATGTTTCACAACGACGAACATCATTTAATTGAAGTGTACGAAAAAAACGTTGATCAAATGGCGGTAAATTTTTACGATTATGAATTAAATTAGCAAGATCATTATGTTGTAATTCCCGAGCATATTCATAAGCATTTAAAGTTTTTTGAACAAGTTCACCTGTTGGAGACGAAGATGATGGTACCATAACCTCGTTAAAGACAAATAGATACATTAGAATGTTTTCTTATTTTACTTTTTAGAAATTTAAAAACAAAAAGCCTTGAGGAAATTTATTTCATTACAGTTACAGAAAAATTGAAAGTATCAAATTTCCAATCATTTTTAATTAGAAAAAACCATCTTGAATACTTCAGATAATTAGATCGATGAATATTTTATTTTCCAATTGTCCTTGAAAAAAACAGTTTTATTTTTTTTTTCTCGCTTATATTTATTTTAAACAATTGTTTACTAAGTAAACATATTATATCGATAAGGTTCCAGACAAAAAAAAACATTCGTTTTTTTATATAAAAATTGACTTACTGAATATTCTTTATCCAATGGTACTTCCATATCCAATATAAGTTTTGTAAATACTTCATCATTACGTTCAATAGCATAAAATAGAAGTGGTTTACTTGGACCATCATTTAATTCATATTGAATAATATCAAATTTATTAACACTACTTTCAAATCGTCGAAGTTGATTACTTTCAACTAATCGAACAAAATCAAGATATAATGATGCATCATCTTTTGTATCGACGACTGGTTTATCAAAATCGAATGTATCGTCCATTTCAATTGAAATAATGCGATAATACAACAACAAAGATGTTTGATCGTTTTCTTCACTTACTTTCTCTTTCTCTCTCTGTCTCTCGTACGTTATTTTAGTTGATTTTGTTTTCTAAGCAACGATACCTTTTTCTTTTATTCGTTCTGACAATAACAGAAGAGAAAGAGTGAGATATGTTATGTCAATAAAAAAATACTTATTGTTGTAGATGTTAATGACAAAATGTATTGTTTTGATATGTGGACCACCAGCATGTCTTAAATCAACACTTGTACAAATACTTCAGTTGATATTAAACCATGATCAGATTTTAAAACTTGAATATTTATGTATAAAAAAACTTTCTGAAATTCTATTAAAAAAAAGACTTGAAAATAAATTTCAGTATAATTATCTTTCATTCGATAATTTATTTTCTGGATATGAAAATGAAATAATTGAAAATGAATTGAATTGGAAATCTTATCGTTCATTAATTGCTGATGAAATTGAAAAAATAATTTTATATAATACACAAATAAAATCATCAACTAATTTAAAATATTCTTCACAAATACTTGATCGTCTTTATCAATCATTAAAATGTAGAGATAATGAAAATATTCTTATCATTGAGGATAATTTTTATTATTCAAGTATGCGTCATCGTTATCATCAAATTGCTCAACGTGCACAAATTGGTTTTGTATCAATTCATCTTTATTCCAATATATCTACTGCTTATCAACGAAATGAAAATCGTGATATATCTAAACGAGTTTCAAATTCTTCAATAGAAAATATTTATTTAAAATATGAATTATCACATGATGATTTTTTAATTAATACAACAGATCGAGGTTTAACAACAGAACATTTACATAGAATTCTTCAACGTATTAAACAAGCTTGTAATGAACCTGAACAACAAATAAATATGATTGATGAAGAACAACGACGAATAGCTACAGAAATTAATCAACAAAATATGATTTATCAAATAGATCAAAGATTAAGAAAATTTATTTCAAAATATTTAAAAGAACAATTTTCTAAGAATGATAAATTTCAAATAGTAAATGAAAAAAAAACTTTTGCAGAAATGATTAATAATAAAAAACAAAAATTTTTAGAATTAATTAAACAAAGATTTATTTTATTGAATGATAATGAAAATATAGAAAAAATATTTGAACAATTTTTACATGAAAAATAATTAATTATGTCGATATTTATTAATCGATTCTTATTAATAAATGACAAGAAAAATAACGGAAATGACTCGGAAAATTCTCAATCAAACGTGCATTCAATATCATATGTTTTCATGGAACGGAAAATGCTTCATATTTTATTAAAAAGACTTTTTAACATTGTATTTTTTTCTAAAGAAATAGTTTGTCTTTTTCATATTTATTTTATGCTGGACTGTTTTTTCTCAATAAAATTCTGCATGTTATTACCATGATTATTTTAATATTGATTTTACAAAAGAAAATCAATGATAATATTGTTTCTATAGACATGATTTATAATTTATGTGATTTAATTATCATGGTTTATTATTAATCTCTATAGCAGCGGTAGTTTGCTGGCAGAGGCAACAGTCATAGTGAAATCGGTTTTCGAGGTATTTTCGTGCTTCTCGCTGGGTCCCCTACTGCTCTATAGTAATATCTTGTTTGTTATTATTTTTCTTAATATCAATTAGAATAGAATATAGATGAGCGGATACGGATACAAAATATACTCGCAAAAAACATCATGTATGTCATCCTAAGCAACACATTAATAGTCATGACAAAACCCAAACCAAAGAAAATTAAACAGCCGCAAGCACACATTGAGGGTGGGGGGGGGGGAAGGCCCTGGGGTCGCTGGGGGTGTCCCCACCACAACTAGGTATCGCACACTCCACATGAACTGCTATAGAAGACTCTATTCATTAACAATCCTTAAAATAGCTAGAGTTTTAAACTCAAGAAACACACAATACGTATTGATAATCACTTATGTATTTGGTCTAAAACCCTAGAATTGATGGTGTACATAGATGGATAACAATACATATAATAGAGTACATGATCATGTACACCACCAATTCTAAGGTTTTTAGGTAAGGACATAGGTCGGTATGAGTACATTTTGCACTCGTATCCACTCTGCCCTCGAATAGAATGGTTGATTTATTACTTTTCATATTAATGAAATAAAATGTAAATATGACAAATATAAGAGTTGCGCTGTCATATGTGACAAAGTTTACAGATTCTTTCACGTCAAAATTTACTGATAAACAATGTTAGTTTCGGTATAATATATTGCTAATGTAAACATTTCATATCATAAGCAAAAATTTTGACAAAATACAAGAGTATGGCGATGTCGACGAGCAGAATGAATAATATATTTTCGTTTATATTAAATACACACTCATTTATGGTATAAGTACACTTGTTGTATGAACGTTTTCTTTCGCTCTCAATCATCTTTAACAAAATATGTACTTTCAGATAAAATTAAGATTATAGTACGATTCAAGGAATAATTCTTATGATGCACGACAATCATAGATTATTTTCACCTACAGGTTAATCCTAGAAAAACGGTAATCTTCTTAAGTATACGATAAGATCTTTGAGTAATTTATAGATAAATTCGTATTCAACAGTACTTTTGTGAATAAAACCTTTTTGATTTTTAGCTAAAATGCTATTGCATGCAAGTATATTATTAAAAAGTTAGTAATAACAATCATAACCAATACAAAAACAAAATAAGTGTGAAACACTAACGTAAAAAAACTACTAGGAAAAGAAAACACAGTTCAAATATAAAATTATCAAATTATTAATGTGTATCATCATTTGTTTGGCGAGTTTGAAAGTATTCAGTCTAAAAATTGAAATGAATTTTTAGAAAAAAGAGATTATATGATTTATTCTTACATAAAGTTTTTGAATAGTTTCATTATCAGTCGTGTCATTATTCCCAGAGAATTTTTCATAAAAACGTCGATAATTTTTATCAACAGATTGTAAATACATATTACCCGATTTTAATACTTCACTTGGTTGTGTTGGTGTAAATGGTGCTAAAGAGCAGAAAGAAAACCCTTGAATGATTTCTTTCAAAAATGATATAATTTCTACCTTTATGATCCTTTTCTTCTCGTTCTAATAATAATTTATCCATTAAATCTGGTTCTAATTCTGTTCTTTCGTTATCAAGTATATGACGTGCTTGTTTAACACTTTTTTGTATTTGTGCAAGTGTAAAACGAGAATCATGTACTTTACGACAAATCATACTATACATAGATGATGCTAAACCTGAACCATATGAAAATAAAAGAATACGTCGACCATATAATTGTTCATCATTTGTTTGACTAGAGAAGAAACAAAAATATTTTATAAATTAAGAATTTATTCGATTAATTAATTAACTAACCTGCTAAGAAATGAAAATAAACTATAATAAACTGATGGTGTATACATATTTCCCATATTTTGTGAAAAATAAAGTCCTGGTAAAGTTTTTTGTTCATAGACTTCACGACTTTTTTCAATAAGATCACGTTCAAGTTCTTTATCGTTCATTGAAGAATCTAGATCAATTTTTCCTCTTTTAAATAAAATGAAAAGAAATTTATTGGTTGATTTTATAAAAATTTCAATCTTACTTATATTTTTCTACTAAAGGACTAGGTATATATGAACAACCACGTATAATATCATTTAAATATAATCTTGATAAAGATTTTTGAGTAAGTTTTACATAGGGTGTATGAAAAACAATGCCAGCAAATGTTGATAAATTAACTTCATTGACTGATGATTGATTTGAATGAGATTCATTATTCATTTGTGCTTTTGTACAATATTGTGTATAACATGCATCAAGTGCTGATGTATAACATTGTACACTTAATTGTCCATCAACAACAGGATATGGTGAACTTAAATTTGGTTTATAAAAATCATAAACATGTTTCATATATGTTGAACGACAACCTAAATAGTTTCATAACTAATTATTCAGGTATTCATTGTAACTTATACAAACCAGGTTCAAAAACAATAGGAGCATTAGGACCGATAAGAAGTGCACAAGCACCTGCACCACCTGTTGGACGTGCATTTCCTTTAGCATAAACAGCTATATCACCCATAACAACAATTGCCTAGTATTAAAAATTATTCGATATGAATTAATCTTAAAAACATTATTTTTTTTTCAATTTACATATCGTCCATCCCAGTAACTTGATTCAATCCAATGAATAGCATTAAATATTGCAGCTGTTCCACCGTAACATGCATTAACATTATCAACACCTTCAACAGCTGTGTTTCCATTTTCAGCAAATAATTGCATTAATACAGTTTTAATTGATTTAGCTTTATCAACTAATGTTTCTGTACCAACATCTAATCGACCAATTTGTTGTGGATGTACACCAGTTTGATCAAGTAAACGTGATAGAACAGTTAAACATAATGAACAAATATCTTCATGATCAGAACATATTGCTATACGTTGTTGTCCTAAACCGATAGTATATTTTCCTTTTGAAACATTATCATAGGTTTCTAAGGATGATTGTTCAACATAAAGTGATGGGATATAAAGTTCACAAGCAAGAATACCAACGGATGTTGGACGATGTGTATAACCATTTTCGCTCATTGTTAGTTTGTGATAAGAAAAATTTGTACTTTGCTCTTCTAGAATGAATACTAAAAAAATGAGATATATATTTCGTTTAACTATGTAATACAGAATCTGTCAGTTAGTTATATACAGCAAAAAAAAATAGAACGAACGAAAAAGAAAAAATAAGGTTTAAAGAATGTTTATGTTGTGTGTCATTGCTATCAATGACACATTCAAATAATCCAGAAAAACGTATTAATAATAGCTGTCAGTCAGTTACTTTTTTGTACCTTTGAAAGATAGAATTTGTTTTCCTCGTTTGTCGTTTTCACTGAATGTGATTATAAGCATGTACTTTTTACTTATAAGTAAAATGAATAACAAACATCATCAAACTATTTCACGTATTAAAAATGACATGATTTTTGATTTTAAAAATAGATAATCAATCGATAATACAAAATCAAAAAATAGATTCATATCCTACCCGACTTGTTTTTTTCTTCAATATAAATATAGTTTGTTGACGATAGAGTATATATTTTAATTTGTAAGGCTTTATTTATGAGAAATTGATTAAAATAAATTAAAACTTACAAGTGTTATAATAAGAATAGAAGAACGAAAAGAAAGAACATATATATATATATAGATACGTGTACTCATATGGTATCACGCCATGTATATAACAGTGATACATAAATAAAGGTAATCGCACCATATATAACAAATAAGTTATCGAAAGAAGATCGTACCATATTTAAGATAAAATTATCAGTCATAACAAGACGACATAGTAGTCACTTAGTTATTGATGAAGATTTTAATAAATGAAATTTCTACCCAAATTCATAATTTTACTAATTACGTCAAATCTATATATTAAATTTACACATTTGTAATTTTCAAATAATCACCATGGTTATATAGAATAACAGTATACATTTCATTGTTAAATCGTTAATTACATATTATTATTTACTGAATAACTTTCTGCTAAACTCATTAACCTGAAATTTTTCGTAGCACTCAGTTGTCATCTACCCTTTATTATGATGAGTCATTTATGTAATCCAACACTAATATTTATTATTTTTTTCGATGTACCCATTTTCTCCTGCAATAACTTCGAGCATAGAAAGAAAGTCAAAAGAACACCAGATGAAAATATTCACAGTGAAACTATATCCTTCTTTTATTGATATGAATAATACCGGCTCGATTTATATTACTCATTATGTCTTGAGTAATTCGATCATAGGCAAATTCAATTGTTATTATTCAAATTTTGAACTTATAAATTTTTTTTATTATATCATTATCAACAGGTGATTAATAATATCGATAGATAGAAAAAATGCACTAATTTACTCACTTCATATTTCATAGAAATCTTGGATTATACATTTATCATATCGAATTATTAAAAAACAAACGAACGCAATTTAGTTCATCTAAAATTTACAATCGAAGAACAAAAAAATTGTTTTTTTTACATCGTTCTTCGATATTTAATCAATAACTTTGTGAATATCTTGTTATATATTTTTTTTCTGAACTACAGAATTCTTATATGTCTATGTTGTTTACATAAAAATGATATCTTACAATTTCAAATAAAATTTTTTTTCTTGCTACTCTACTTGTGAAATAATAAATAACAATTTTTTTTGAATTTTAAGATGTTTTCGAAACAAACTTTGATTTTTTCTCAATATATAATCATCACCATTTTACCCATCTTGTTTTTATACATCATAGAACAAGAGAAGAAGAAAAAAAAACAAATACAACATAATATGAGTAAAACTGATGAAGAAAAAAAAAAGAAAAAACCAGAAGACGCGAACCATAAAGACGGAAGAGAAGATACAGAAAAAGAAAACAAAATAGTTAGCAGCAAAACACAATATATATGTGCAAACAATATGACAAAACACGATAGAGAGAGAGAGAGAAAAGAAAACAACGATAAATACATTCACACACTACAGACGACGATGTAGAAGAAGAAAAAAATGAAGCAACATCAGTAGGCACAAGATTATTTATGAAAAGAAAAGGCCAACGAACGAGCAATATGCTCATTAGAACATAAACACACTGACAAAAGATTTTCTAGATTTTTTTTTCTCGTTTATTCAATAATAATAATAATAATACCAACTTTTTATAAAAGTCAATTCTGATGACTATCCACAAACTATATACATTGTATATAGAAATCAAATCAAAAAACGAAAAAGCAAGTGGAGAGAGAGATGGTTCTACTGTTATACATGTGCGTATGTCGAATAAAGAGAAGAAGAAGTGGATTATCTGACATTATGTCTGTCGGAAACGAAAAAAGAAACAAATAATTTATATGTATGTATATATATATATATGTATATGTATATATTGCACAACGAGAACTTTATTTTTATTCATCAACTTGTTCATCGTCACCATGTGCTAAACTAAAACAAAAACAAAAAAAAAGATTATTAAAATATGTCTAAAAAAGAAAGAAATTATTAAGTCTGCTGTTTTTTCCTTCCCCTTGCGAGCAAATACAAAAAAAAGACGAACCCTTTTTTCGATTTTTCTTTACTTTTCTAAATATTCGAGATATTTCTATTAGAAAACGACTGTAAGGATAATAGAACAAAAAAACACGTACCTCATATCATTTTGTCCATCATCATCGTCAGTTTGATCATATTGACTATGATTCATATCAGCGGATTGATCATGATGATCACCACCATTTCCATTTATACTATCAGAATTATCTCCATCTTCTTCATCTTCATCACCATGACCGCCACGAGAATGACTACTACCTAATGCTAATTCATGAGGATTTAATAAACCCTAAATTAACAAAATAATTTAAAAAATAGATTTTTTGTTAAAACAAAATTACTTTAAAATCTTTGTAATCATCTTCGATACCAAATGGATAAGAATAAAGTGCTTGATCTTCACCAGTAGATAAACGTGCAGATGTATTATGTCTAAAATATTCGAAGTGAAGCTTAGATTTCAGTCTAGAGCAACATTACTCCTAGTACTCATTATAAAATATAATCTCATTTCTATGGATAGATACTCTTCGATTCAACAGTAAGAATGACATTCATATTCTCGTAGATCTTTTCCTTGATATTTAAGTTGCTACTGATCAGCAAAACTATCGAAATAGATGATATTTTTATAGAAATGTTCGAGGACAATTTTTGCGACATTGTCCAGTTTCGGATAAACATCATTTTTTCTTACATTAACAATTAAATAATACAACACGTTTATATTAATCATCAAGCACTTGTCAACACTCAAGATAACGATTATATATCTGTTTTTTGTCCTTTACATTAACCATACAAATAGGCGATTTCGATATGTTTTTCTCAAATAGAAAAGTCACAATAACCCTTGTCCAGTTTAAGACATTATTTTAATACGAGATCCACTAATTTCAAATTCAGGGTCTTCTATGGCGATAAAGGACTTTTTTGTTGTTGTAATAATCTTACCCATACGATGATGATGATTCATTGTGATTGTTTCCTTTTTCTGCACCTCGTGTTAAACGTCGTTTACAAAATTCACTTTCATCAACCGTCCACACGGCACCTTTAATATTTTCTACACGCATAAAACATTTATGTAATGATAAATTATGTCGTACAGCATTCTATAATTAGAAGAAAAAAAACAATTTAAAATAAAAAAATTTATTTTCTTCAGAACTAACCTTCCAAGTTTGTGCATTTTTACGAAAATAAAGAAATTGTGCTTCAAACCATTTATATACTTCATTTAATGTTAATTGATTATCTGGAGATTCAATAATAGCCTAAAAAAAATATAATAATCATAATAATGAAAATAACTTTATTGAAATTTACTTGACGAATTAATGTTGCATAAGTAAATGGTGGACGTACATCATGTGTCATATAATAATCACGATTTTTTAATTCTAAAAATAAATAAGAGAAGAATTAATTGCAAACAAAACAATATTATTTCTATATATATACCTTTTCCTTTTCCAGGTTTTTTACCACCTAATGCTAACATATTTTTTGATTTTCGACTAAGACGATGTTTATTCATATTAAGTACAGGTAATATACTACCATTTGGACCTGTATGTGTTGATAAATCACCATTTGTATCATCCATATCATCATCATCAACATCATCATCATCATCATCTTGTGTGTCATCTCCAACTTCTTCTTCAACCGTATGAACAGGTGGTGGTGAACTTGATGCACTAGCACGTAAAATAGCTGATGTTGTTGCATTTGTACCTGATGAAAGATCTTGTGGTGTTGTTGTATGATATGAATCAAGTGAATTTGTTGTTGTTACAACACCAGCTGATGTTAAAAATGCATTTTCTAATTTAACTATTGGTAAATGATGAAGTGCATTTGTTGATGAAGATGTATTATTAATCGATGATGATGAAGATGCTGGAGATGATAATGATGCTAACTGTGCTGCACGTGTATTTGTAGTTAATGTATGATGATATGGAGCTGATGTTGTTAATGTACGTGTTGCTGGTTGTGTTATAATATGTGTTGATGTTGTATTTGAATTTGATGATGTTGCTCCATTTGTATTTGTTGAACCACCATGTAAATGTCTCATCATAGCTTGTAATATTTCACGTTCACGTGTTAAAAGAGCTTCAAGTTGTTGAACAACATGTTGTTGTACACGTGCTTGTGCAACTGAACGATCATCAAGTGAATGTTCATCACTAAGATGTCGATTAAAATCTATTAATGTTGAACATAATGTATCACAACTTGGCCATCGACAATAATTTCGTTGAAATAATGGATTAGTAGAATCTTGTTGTTGATTTGTAATTGTTGATGAACGATTAATAGTTGTTGCTGGCATAACAATTCGTGCTTCAGTATTATTATTTCCGAGAATATTTAAGCCTAGAAAAATAAATATTTAAAAAATATATAAGATAAAGAAATAGAAAATTATAGGAATGTGCAAATAAAGCATAAATATAGACGCAGAAAACAAGAGGAGAAATCATTTAATGCGAGAATTTATTATTATCATTTTTTTTTCAAAATGTGGTTGTGTGTATGACGAACCAGTGCTATTAGTTCGACTTGTTGTTAATAGATCGGTAATATTGATAGTTGTCGGTTGTTGTTGATAAGGACGTGTTGAAATTGAAATGACCGATGGAGTGTCTGTATATTTTTATATATGAAGTTTGTTTAGAGAGACAGATATTTGTTTTCAAAACTGACAAGAAATCAAAATAGAAAAATATATCTTACCAGCAGTAGACGAATTATTAGGTGTAGTAGTTAAATATTGAACAGTCGCTGTTGTTGGTTGATTATTATTTGAATTTGTTATGCTAAACAGACTAGGAATTTGTTGTTGTTGTTGTTGTTGTTGCTGCTGTTTAGATGAAACTTGTTGAAGAAGTAATTGTTGATTAGCAAGTTGATTCTATTTTAAAAAGAAAGAGATTGAATAAATCTTTTCTTTCGAATTTGATTTTTACTTGAATTTGTTTAATAACGTCTGAATTATTTGTTGTTTGCGTTGTTGTTGTTGTTGGTTGAACAAGATTAAGTTGTATTTGTTCATTCAATTGTTGATTGATTTTTTCCACGAGTAGACGTTGCTAGATAGAAAAATAATAGAGTAAAAACGTATTAGAGTATGTGATATTAATATATATATACTATCGCTCTATTCTTCTAATACTATTCTTTTATTATAGCTGTCACAGATGCCAT